TCTTTTGTAAATTTGTCCATAAGACATTTTAAATTCAAGATTGCAAATTTTCACTTTTGATCAGATCCGCTTTTTTATGTCTCGCAGAAAACCCGGATGTAAAGAAATGTTGGTTATGACCTGTGATGTTGCTAATATTTGAATTAATTTAATTTGTGAACATTAAGTTTCTAAAATTGGATATCGTTTTAAAGTTTGATAAAAATTTGTTGTGACAATGTGTTTTTTTTTAGTTATATTTTAAGCCTCAACTATTTGAATGATATTTATTTATTTTCAACACATATCATTTTTTCTCTTTTTTTTTTGTAAATTTGCATGAGACACGTTAAAGTCAAAATTACAAATTTTCACCATATTAGATCTGTTTGTTTTTATGTCTTTCGGGAAAATTCTGAATCTAAAAATTGTTGGTTCTGACCCATGATGTTACTAACCTTTAAGTTAATTTAATTTGTGAACATTAAATTTTTAAAATTGGATATTATTTTAGATTTTGATTAAAATGTTATTGTGATAACATATGTTTTTTTTTCTATCATATTTTAAGCGTCAATTATATGAATCAGATTTATTTGATCAATAAATTTTGGACTTTCCTTTGACGAAACTAAAAAATCATGTTTTTTTTTCCCACTTTCATTTCTTCTTCCATTTTTTCTCACGACAGTCTCTCTGTGTCTTCTCCTTCTTCACTTTGTCTTTCAGTTCAGTTCCAGAAGCTTCTCTATCCCATTCGTTGCTTGTTCATCTTCACTCAAAATTTGCAAATCTGATAGAAACTGTTGTTTTAATGAGTTTGAATTAAATTATCGACATGCAAATCAGTTAATACCGATAAAACTGCTGCTATCAAATACACACATTCCTGATTTTGCGATTGATCCTAACTGCTACTAAATCCAATCTAAGCAAATAAGAACAATGGTTCTTGTCTAGTCTTGTCCATCACTTCCTTGATTTCTTTGAAGATATACGTTTGTAAGATATATTTGCAATATCATAGAGGTTTCGCAAACCTGTAATAAAAAGAACAAAGCATGTTAGTAAGACATTAAACATAATAACAATGCACTATATATGTAAAACAATGAAATAAGTGAGTACAATTCCTGAAGCTAATCCACCTTGAGCTAAGGAGGATTTACCTTTTTTCCCTTTTGATTATCTGTAAGATGTAAAATAATAAATTTAGACTTTATGATTTCTTATGCAGCTTCTTCGACAAACAGAAAACCCATGTTGTTTTGCTCCTTGATGGTCTTAGGTAAATCTTTTTCATACCTGTACTACCTCCTATGTCTCTGTATAGGGATGTTACTTAATTTTCTGAAAACAGAATTGAAAAAAAAGAACATGACTGGGTTTCGTTTCCCTTTATTATTATTGAATGTCAAATGGTTTTAGAAAACTAACCTGTTTCTCTACAAACATAAGATAGAAAAAGGTAATTAGATTTCTCTATGAATAAATGAGATATGAGGAAGAAGCTTTTATTGAGAAATGATATGAAAAGAAACGCACATAGTAAAAGAAAACCTGTTCCAGGCTAACACATAGATTTACATGGCATTGTTTCTTCTTATTGTTGACTGCATACATTCTTGAAAGGTTTGATATCCTTCTTTTTGATTGAAGCTTGTATAACCCTACAAATATGATTCCAGTTCTGTTAGTTTTTGATAACAAACTGAATCAGAAATAACATGTTATTTTTTGCAAGTATCTTACAGTTTTGTTTGACACAATCTCCTCCATTGTTCCATCAGAAAGAATATGAATCATTGAAAGTGACGTGCGGTATGCGTAAATGTGCTTTTTGGTGTTTGCAATGGTGTGGCTTTCTTGTTAGATGGTAGAGAAAGAATTTACCTGTTAAAGAGAGATATCTCCACCCGCATAGACATTTCCAACCTCGTTAGATCTGTAAAAACATAAAAACTATAACATTTAGTAACAGATATATCTAAATAAGAATTTAAACTAAGTTTTGGATCACAAAAAAATAACACATGTTCATTCAATTGGAGGGAGCTTGAATCTTCTTTTAAAAGCTGTTAAAATATTCAGTAGCTTCTTACGAAATCTTTGGAGCATTATACATCCATTTAAAGAAATTCGAATATTAATTTCAAATTAAGAACTTGGTAACAGAATTTCTTTATGAATATCCTACTTCATAAATGTCGTCTCGTTTATGCACTTAATACATTTGTAAATTAGGTATCTTCCATACCGGCATTTGTTAAGTAGCGTACTTTTTGGTAAGATTGCTTTGATTTTGTGTAGATTAGAATATTAGTAAATATGTGATTTGATTATGTATTTTAATTGCGAATTTATTAGATGCATTTTATGGAAAGAAGGTCTGATTTTCAGCTGGAGAAGTTAATACCCAATTTTCATGGGATTGTCGTTGATTCCTTTTCAAAACCCGGGAGAAATTTCTGCTTTAGAATAATTGATTTATGGTCCTGAACCGTAGCTTTAATTGTTCCGGTTTGATTTAAGTGAATCAAAGATCAGTGTGCTTCTAAATTGATTCGGGTCAGGTCAATATTTTAATTTTAGTATTAGTCTCGGGTTTTTTCTGTTTGGAAATAGAGATAGCTCTTTTGAAAGGTTGAAATAATCCTTATTTTGTGCCTCTGCTTTAATAGTATAGACTAGTAGAGTACCCGCACGTTTGTGCGGTGTGACGTTGTTGTTTTGTGTAGAAAATTTAAACCCTAAATCCGAACCCGACAAAAAACCCTAATCAAAAAATTTAAAAACCCAAACTTTTTTAATAGGTCTAAACATGAAAATCCGAAATCAAAAAAATCCCGAAAACCCTGACTGAACAAAAAAAATCTGGAAACTTTTTCACCCGGAACCCGACCCCAATACCTAATCAAAATTTTAAAATACTCAATTTTTTTAATATATCTAAACCCGAAAACCAGAAATCTAAAAAATCCGGAAAACCCTAAACTGAAAAAAAAAATTGAACCTAACCCGAACAGAAATTTTCAAAGAAACCCGAACAATTTCTATATCTCTATATATATCTCTATAAAATTATGTCTCAGATTTTCACCCAAACCCGAACTTGTCTATAAAAACCCGAAAATCCAAAAAGCATATTCTATTGATTTGGAATTATCGTTAGATTATGTTAAGTTTTTTTTTTGCAGATTTTTAAGAGATGGAAAACGGAAGTTTTCTAAACCATCGGTTTATTTTAAGTTATTATTCTTGTATCCAAACAATTTTTTCCATTTATTCTTCTATCCAAATAGATTTTTCTCTTATTCTTATATCCAAACAACTTTTGTTTCCATTTATTCTTCTATCCAAATAGATGTTTCTCTAATTCTTGTATCCAAACATTAGAATGTACTTCTAAACATTTTAACACTTTTGTCAAACTATTAACTGAATTAAAATATGTGTTTATAAACTATGGTAAGTATTCAATTGCTTCCCCGTATCGAGAGCGTGTTTTTGGGTGGTGAGGATTTAGACACGTGTCAGTCAACTGGGGCGTCTACGGTCCAGCATTCGAATCAGTGAGTGACATGTCACTACTATCTCATAAAAATATCAGAATTATCCAGAGAATGTTATAAATACCCCTCGACCCCTTCGCCTTCACAGAGTTTTGATATTTGAAAAAGTAAATCAATCTGGAGAGAAGAGCAAAAAACAAAAAAGAGACGCTAGAAGAAACGCGAAAAATCCCGAAGAATACACGAATCGATCGTTAAAATCGAAGAATAAGAAAAGTTGCGAAGGGGTAAAGAGATCGTTGCCAATTGAATAAGATATACACATCCTTCAGAGTAAATCGTCCGCAATAGGTACGTTAATTTTCGATCTCTTACGAAATTTGTTCTTCTTCTTCTGGGTTTGAGTTAATTCGTCAATTTTACGCTGAATTAGTAATTTTCTAGGGTTTGGGTTGTTGATTTTAGGATTTTCGATTGTGTCGTATTTATTAAAGTTTTGATTTATTTTCGTAGGGATTGTTTTTCTTTTACACCCTTTCTTCGACTCTTGTGTCTTTTAGAGTCGTTCTTTAGCTTGCTCCCGAAGATTCGGAAACAAAAAAAAAGGAAATTCGATTTCAATTTTTCCTTTTCTAAATAAACGGAAAAACTTGGTGGGCAAGGAAATTAAACTTGGTGACCAAGCTGTTCCCGTGATTCTATTGCTATAAATTCGCTGCAACTTGTTAAATTTCCTTTTCTCTGGAATCGTTTTGCTTACAAGTTCCTTATCCTTCACACTTGAGAGACTAATTTATAGAGACTGAGTCAAGCTTTTCTGGTCTCGTGTAGATTATTCTTTGATCAAGTCTAAGAAGACGATGGCCGTATATGATCAAACCGGAATCGATACATCTACATCAAAGAAGAGGAAATCTAGGGCTCGTGCGGACGGTACAACGGTGGCTGATCGGCTAAAGAAGTGGAAAGAGTACAACGAACACATCGAAGCGTCTTTTATAAACGAAGGAGAGAAGAAACCTAAACGCAGAGTACCTGCGAAAGGGTCGAAGAAAGGCTGTATGAAAGGTAAAGGAGGACCAGAGAACATTCAGTGTAGTTTCAGAGGAGTTAGACAAAGGATTTGGGGTAAATGGGTTGCAGAGATTCGAGAACCCAACAGAGGAAGCAGGCTCTGGCTTGGCACTTTCCCTACAGCGGAAGAAGCTGCTTCTGCTTATGACGAAGCTGCTAAAGCCATGTATGGTCCATCGGCTCGTCTTAACTTCCCTGACTGTGTTGGCTCTGAGTTCACTAGCAGCACGTCGAGTCAGTCTGAGGTCTGTACGGTTGAGGATAAAGCTGTTCTTGACGGTTGTGGTGAAGGTTTTGTAAAGCAAGAAGATTCATCATATTGTGAATCGAAACCGTTTAGTCAGATGTTAGAAGTTAAAGAAGAGGTTTCTGTTAGTGAAACGAGGCAGGATGCGAGTAACGCGAGTACAGGGCTACTGGATTACGATTTGCTGAATGAGTTTGAGGAGCAGTATTGGAGCGGCTTATCGAAGGAGAAGGCAGAGAGAGAGATGCAGCAACAACAGCAGCAGCAACAGCAACAAGATCTGCAAAACGATATGCTTAGTGTTGAGGATTATGGTTGGCCTAATGACATTGCAACCGACAAGGGTTTCTGGGATTCTGAAGAGTACTTTGATGTTGGTGAGCTCCTTGGCGATTTGGATTCGAATGTCATGTTACCTTGTCCGAGTTCGAACCAAGACCAAAACGGTATATATCACAGTGGCTTTGATTCAAACCCGCTTCAGCTTGAGCCACACGATGGTCACGAGTTCTTTGACTTGGCTTCTCTGGATCTTTGAGAGTTACGAGGCAAAAAAGACAACAGAATCTTTGGATTGATGGTAGCAGAAACAAGTAAAATGGGTGTTATGATTCACAATGAAAAAAACATAGCTCTAATATTTTTCAGTTTTTGCTCTTTCCTTTTGGTCATGAAGTGTTTTATCTGCCGAGTTAATAAAAGATAACAGAGAGAAACTCTTTTGCTCCTCTTTTTTTTATCCGTAGAACAATAATTATAGTGTACATATTTAACAATTAATCCAAAAAAAACTCTGAATTTAATTAATCAAGGATAAAATAACTTGGCAAAAAGAAGTTCGTTCCAAGTATCTTGAAGACCAGGCAAGCACCAATGTATACAATCTGAGTAACTAACCGGATTCGCTAGCTGCTCTTTCGTCAACGGGCTCCATTGCTTCTTGTATATCGACGTGTGCGCATCTCTCCGGTAGCCGGAGAGTTGTGTAATGTTGAGTACCGTCACCGGAAAATCCTTTCTCCCGTCTAGTTCTTCTCCGATCACTTTCATTAACGTTTTGCTGCAGTCTGATGGCCAGTGGTCCATGTCTTGGATCGGTGTCGTTTGATTGTAACAGTTCCCATTCTCGCCTCCCCAATCCTCGCTCCTGATCCATGGAGTAACAAAAAGATGAAACCTTTGTACTTATAAGCTCACGGTCAAAATGTTAAGAAGAAGTTACAGACTTGTAATGAGTAGGGGACATAGTAGCGAAGAACACCCTCGTCTTCAATGGATCCATATTCTTCTTCACCCATTTAACCATAGTCTTGAGCGCCATTCGGTAAGCATCTTCGCTTTCCATCTCAACAATTCTCTTCTTCTCATCCTTGAACGAACCTTCCCTAACAAAAATCCAAGAAACAATCAAAATTAGAGAAACACCTTTTGTACACTAAAGTCTTGCCATTGGTGGTAAGTGACATACAAGATCTTCATCTTGAAGCCAGTCCTCCACCACAAGTAAGTGTTGAACACGATTACATCAGCGCCTCGCCAATGCCTACCGTGTTTCTGGATCGAGTGTTTCCTCACAATCCGATCTGTTACTCTGTGAACCGTAGCGTTATCTGAGTTCGATTCAAGAAGAAACGGTGCCCAATAAAACTCGATCGTTGCATTGTAATCCTACACAAAATATACCACAAGAGTTTCTAAATCTGATCCAAAAGCTTAAGATCACAGAGAGTGTGACAAGAACCTTGATGGAGAAGACGGTGAGGGAACCAAATGTATCCATGGATTTGGAATTTTCTGGGATTTGTGAATTGAGAAGACAGATCAGAGAAGCGTACATTCCTCTGTTTAAGGAATCGCCGATGAACATCATCTTCTTCCCTCTTAAGCTCTGCAGCATCAGCTTCGCATCAAACCTAACACACTCGAAAACCATAGAGCGAATCCGATCTGAAGATCAATCACCGGATTGGGCTAATTGCAGTCGAAATATGAAATCGAATGAGAGAGTAAGGGAGAGAGAGAGAGAGAGACTAACGAGGGAAGCGAGCAAGACTCAGGCTTCCATCTCCAGGAAGCATAGTCGCTATCGGGACGGCCATGCGTGCGGCAAGTGAGCTGCGGCTGAATGTAGGGACACTCGGATTCTCGGTACAACGGACGCGTTGACTTGTCTTTGACCCAATTCCCTTTGAACACATCGCATCCTTCCGGCGTCTTTCCCACCGCAAAAGCCGGCGGTGGAGGAGATGGCGGTGGAGGAGACGGAGGCGGAGGAGATGGTGGTGGAGGAGATGGAGGTTTGTCCGCAACAACGAGGATTGCGGATTGGGGAAAAATCGTGGGAGAGTGAAGAGATCGGCGGGATAAAGAGACGAGATCGTGGCCGTAGATGAAGGCGGAGAGTAGGATGAAAGCTAGTACGGTGTAGGAGAAGTGAGTGAGACGGCGTTTTCTACGGTTAGATGAAGACGGTGACAACAACGGCGACGTCATTTCTTCTTTTTCTTTATAACGTCTAACAGTAATTTCTTTCTTTTTGATGTCTTTCTTCTGCTTTATGGATGTGTAATAACAAAATTTGGTTTGATGAAAATTGAAATTTGGATGGTAGCCAAAATATTAGTAATTTATTTGATGTCTGTTACAATATACTATACAGTATTTTACTTTTGATCAAGTGTCGCACTTGCACGATCCAAAACCAAACGCATGTTCTTGCGCATAATTACTCACGACTGTTTATATTTTAATTCGAACTACGAAAGTTCTTAGACTTTACATCAAAAAGATAGATAAACCTGTTCCTATTGAGTATATTCTAAGCTTTTGTTCCCGACAAACAGAGAGCAACTTTTATTAAAAGAGAGAAAATAGAGGATCCGTAGACGCATTTTGTAAAAGTTTCAAGATCTGGATCCATTGGATTGGATTTCTAAAACTGTTACGACATCTAGAGTTTTCTTTTGGTGATATTTTCATGATAATTAAAGAGGTGGTGGTGTTAAGAGTTTACTTTGAAAGACATTTTTGGGTAGTCTGGTGCTTAGATTACTGCTTTCTCATCAACAATATGATTCTACAGATCCATAACAAACTTTTGTCTCAATAGAATGATTTAGAATGTTAGAAGTTGTACTAAACCCAACAAACTGAACAAAGTGACATCATTAAAGGAGATTAGTTATTTGCAACTCATTATATAGACCTGAAATTTTGTGGTACGCCATAAAAAGAAAGAAGCACAAGAAAACACTAACACTTTGTGCTAATCACATTTCTGAATGATCAACGACTCAATAAAGAAGACTCAAAATTTTCATGCCTAAGAGCATAGGGTAAAATTACCCTACCCTACCTTGACTCTCAAATAGTCCTTATAGAAAAGACCCTAATTCAGAAAGTCCTAAAAATACCCTAGTACCAATAAGATAGTCCAGAAAAAACCCTATAAGTTTTAGGGTATCCAAGGATACCCTAGTTACATTTTTGTCCTTTTTTTTGTTTTTATTTAATCAACACCAATCATATTTTTGTGTCAAAATTACAAATTATCCTTTTCGGTCAAAATCACAAAATTATTTTTTCTGCTAACATCGTAAAATAAATAAAAATTCGACAAAACCCTAAAATAATATTTTCTCGCCAAAACCCCAAAATCATATTTTCCCGTGAAATAATATTTTTGTCAAAACCACATAATCCCGTTTTCCCGCCAAAACCTCAAAATCATATTTTCCTGCCAAAACTTCAACATCATGTTTTCCCGTTGAAATTTCAAAAAATCATGTTTTCCGTCAAAACTTAAAAATTACGTTTTTCGTTTTTCCGCCAAAACCTCAAAATCATATTTTCCCGTTAAAACCTCTAAAAATCATGTTTTTCCGCCAAAACCTCAAAATCATGTTTTCCCGTTAAAACTTCAAAAAATCATGTTTTCCGTCTAAACTTAAAAATTATGTTTTCCGTTTTTCCGTCAAAACCTCAAAAAATCATGTTTTCCGTCAAAACTTAAAAATCACGTTTTCCCGCTAAAACCGTAAAATCATGTTTTCCCGCCAAAACTGTAAAATCATGTTTTCCCGCTTAAATCGTGAAATTATGTTTTTTCGCCAAAACATCAAAATCACACTTTTCGTCAAAATCTCAAAATCATGTTTTCTCGCAAAATCCTCAAAATCACGATTTTCCGCTAAAACCTTGAAATTACATTATCTTGCAAAATTACATTTCCTTCAAAAACCTCAAAATCTTGATTTATTTTAGGGTTTTCGGTCCCAGCCCCCCCTACTAGTCACAATAAATCGGAATCCACCCAAACTTTCCGCCTCTGTCTATTCCCCCCAACAACTTATTTTCCTGTCGATTCCCCCATATCAAATAAAATTCTCTAGTCTGCGTTTTAACCTACAAAAACACGTTTCTGAGACAGTGATTGCCCGATAAAAAACCCGCTTTGTCTCACGCTTAAACCCGATCTATCATTACCAAACCCGACAATTAACTTTCACTTCACACTTCTCTTGAAACACAAAATCGATTTGGGGCTTAGGGTTCTTATTTTGTTGCGAGAAATTGAAATCAAATCCTTGAAATTCGAAGAGGAGACAATGAGCTCTTCTTCTTCTTCTTCATCTCGGTTGTCTAACCGAAGGTCAGTGCGTGGAGTTCCAACAAGATGTTGGTGTGGGAGAAACCTTGTGACATATGCTGCTCAAACCAAGGACAATCCATTTCGCAGATTCTACCGCTGTGAGCTCGCATTGCAGGTATAATCTAATCGATTGTATGTATAGATATGTTAAAAAGTATTTGAGAGGAGAATTAGAGTAATTTGTGTGTTTGTGTAGAGAAAAACTGAAGAACATCTTTTCAAATGGATTGATGAGGCTTTGCTTGATGAGACAAAAATGGTAGAGGAAAAGCTTGAAGAAGAGGTGAAAGAGTTGAGAAAAGAAATGGTGAAACTTTTGGATCTTCAATCAAGTTTAACTCGCAAGATGGAAAAAGAGGTGAAAGAGAAGGTGGAAGAGAAGGTGAAAGAGAAGCTGGAAGAGAAGTTAAAGGAGGAAAGTATGATAGCTACTGAGACTAAGAAGAAGATGGCTGGAGAGATGGCTCGAGAAATGGCAAAAACGTGTATGCAGAAACTTGGAATCACGGTTTTGGTTGTTGGGACAATAGGATGGCTTTGTGGTAATGTTATTATGAGTTAGGTTTGTGTTGGAATGGAACCCATGTTGTGAAGAAACAATGTTTTGGAGTCTTGTAAGCTTTGTGGCATGGTTATTTAAGTTGAATGGAACTCATGTCGGAATGTTATTTAAGTAATGGTTTGGAGCAATGGTCAAATGTGTAATGCATTCATGCTTTTCTCAGGTTTATACTCAAAGCACAATCCAATAAAGATCATTCATAATCTCAAAAGATAGCATTCATAATTATCCAAAGAAGTCAAACAAAAGTACCACAACAATGTTACACAAGAAAGAGTAATAAGCCATAAGAAAATAAAGAGATTCACTCCCAAAAGAAAGAGTAATAATCCATAGGCATAAGCAAAGAAAGAGATTCACTCCGACAGTTGAGATGGTTGGGTGAGTGAAAGAGATTCATGACCCTGCGATGAAGTGTTCGCCTGAAGTACAACCAAAACACCAAAATATCAGACCCGTTTACGAACCAAAACTAGATCAAGAACCGTAACCATAAAGTTCTTCAGCAAATCTTTCTTCGCATGGTTCTTCTTCAAGTTCTCGACTATATGCTTGACACACATCCTATGCTCAGCTTTTGGCAACTCAGCTTTGACAGCGCTAAGAAGTCCCTGAAAAAAAAATATGTTTCAAGTGTTAGAGACATAAGCCGGATATTAAGAAATAAGAGAAGACAAGCAATATTAGTTGATTAGACTAGTAGTTGATACTTACTTTGCATCTGTCTGAAATCATGACATAACCATCGCCATCTTCAAGTCCCAAATCAGCCTTAAGGTTCTTAACAAACCATAACCAGTTATCTCCATTTTCAGATTGTACCACAGCCCAAGCAATCGGATAGATCTGATTGTTTGCGTCGTGACCAACAGCAGTCAACAAAGTTCCTTTCACGGCGATCTTGAAGAAGGTTCCATCTAGGCCAATGACTGGCCGACAAGAACTTTTCCATCTTGTTCTGAGCTTCTCAAAGCACACAAAAAACCGATCAAAAACACCTTTTTTTTCTGCATTTCGATATGTATCAACAATTGCAGTTGAACCCTTGTGCTTCATAATATCTCTGCCACATAACCACGAATATGAGCAAACTGAGCTTCATACTCCTTCTGAAGCCATTTCAAAGCAAGCAGTTTTCCGTTCTGACATTGATTCACCGTAGTTTTGAATCCCAATGTTCTTTGATAAGAGCTTGAATTTTCAGAGGCCACAATTTCGTTTTCTCCCTCAGTTTATCTAAGAAAAGCTTTGCAATCACAGGACCTTTCAGCAGCTTGCATTTCGCACCAGGCGTACAAGTGTGGTATCCGTACTTGGTCTTCAAAATCCACATCCCACTAGACTTATCATAAGAGAAATATAGCTTCCACTTGCACTTTGCATCTTCCCCACATTTGTACCCAATCTTTGTCTTATCCCATCTGTTTTGCTCTATGTTCTTCCCTTTCTTCAGAGCATACTCTAAAACAGCTTCCTTAAACTCAAACCCCGTAAAAAAAGTAGTTCCGAGAGCTAATTTATCTTTTCTGTTCTTCATGCGTTTTTTCCTTCCAAACTCTCAGGAATTATCCTTCCAAAGACTATTTCCTCATCCACAAAGTTATTTACAGCATCTTCAATCTCCACCTCATATCTTTCACCAATATCCTCTTCATCTTCTAAAATCTTAGCTTTACCTTTCTTTCTCTTTTTCAACAGCATAGCTTCCTCAAGCTCTCTCTCTTTTCTCGCTTTGATAGCTTCCTCATACTCTTTGTCTTCCCCTCCCTCCGTTTCATCATGCTCTGCACCATTCTTCTCACTCTCAGCATCTTCATCACTTACATCCTCCTCCATATCAGTCTGCTTTTCACCATTTTCTTCACTTTCTCTCTCAGCATTCTTCTCACTTATATCATCCTCCATTTCAGTCGGCATCTCAACGTTTTCCTCATTTTGCTTCTCAGCATTTTCTCTGTTTTCTTTCTCGGTACGCAGAAGCACAATATCACCTTGCTGAATGAACACATCAACCTCAGATTCTGACATAGCTTGAGCACACATTATCATAAGCTCTGAATCAGAACCGTGAAACCCAAAACTTCTCACAGTATCCATGTCTTCGTGTGGGAGCTTGTACCATACTCGTTCTACTATACCGCCAGGTATTTCATGCACTTCACAAAAGCCATCAAAACAGCTCCAAGTCATGTAATCAGGATCTACAACTATGCCTTTCTTCAAACCTCTTCCAGTGTATCTGACAATACCATCGTCTCTCTGCATAACACCTCCATGATACAGGTTCACTTTGAAACTGTCAAAGTTACTGCAAAAGCAACAGAAACAGAAGAGAAAATTGAGCATTTGACTTCCCTAAATCACAGAGAATGCATCGTTGTCTAAAAGAACAAAACCTAATATCTAAATCCGTTGATAGGAAAGAGTACACATACCTCATCGCTGAAGCTTTGTTCGACGAAGCTTCGCTCGACGAACAAATAAGAACGACGAGGAACATACGAAATCGACGAGTTCTAATCCTCCAATGGTTGGTCGATTTCAGTTTTCTACTCTTTTATAAGAATCCTAATTCGCTTTCCCCAAATCGATTTCGATTTTGAAATCGATTTTGAAGTTTTGTGTGAAGTGAAAGTTAATTGTCGGGTTTGGTAATGATAGATCGGGTTTAAGCGTGAGATAAAGCGGGTTTTTTATCGGGCAATCACTGTCTCAGAAACGTGTTTTTGTAGGTTAAAACGCAGATTAGAGAATTTTATTTGATATGGGGGAATCGACAGGAAAATAAGTTGTTGGAGGGGAATAGACAGAGGCGGAAAGTTTGGGTGGATTCCGATTTATTGTGACTAGTAGAGGGGGGCTGGGACCGAAAACCCTTTATTTTAAAGAGGTTAAAGATTAAGCTAAATAAAAATATAATAGAATTTGTTGTTTTAGGCATATAAAAAAATACCCATAGGGTACTCTAAATCCATTAGGATAACCCTTTTAGAACCTTTTCATTAAGGGTACCAACCCATAATCAACCCTTCATGTTCTGTATTAACAAAGGAGGGTAATGGGCTTCATAAAAATTAAGGGTTAAGGGTACCCTATGGGTTAAAACCCTTCATTAACATCCCTAAGGATAGCATAGGCCCATATAAACATTCTAAGTGTTTAACTCTGCTTTCGTGCAAGCTACTTTATAAAAAGTTCATGTAATTTTCGTGTGAAAAGAACGATAATTTCATATGTTATGTTTTTTTTATTTGGCGTACGAACAAGAAAAAGAAGACGAGTTCAAAAAAGAAAAGTATAACGAAAAGGAGAAATAATTAAAAAACGAAGCCATTTGAGGAAAAAAAAAAAAAAAAAAAGAGAAAAACGAAGCACATCGTCGTCTTCCTCCGTTGACCTCTCAAAATGCGAGACGTTCTTCGCGCCTATTTCTCTCGTAGAACTCTCGTATCTCTTTACAATCTCTTCTTAACCATCTCCCATAAGCTCCTCACTTCATTCCCTCTCTCTCTCATCATGCCCAAATCCAACGACGGCGCCGCCGCAGAATCCGAGGCCGTTCCGCTGCTCGATCTATCTAAGCCTTCGTCACCGATATCCTTCCCGATCAAAACTCTGCAAGACCTGAAATCTCGTTCTTACTTCGACTCCTTTCACTTCCAGTTCAATCGCTCCACCGTCCCTCTCCGGCGAAACTCCGACGGCTTACCGAATCGCCCAAGGGTCTTAGTCTGCCACGACATGAAAGGAGGGTATGTAGATGACAAGTGGATACAAGGGTGTGAAAACGAGGCCGGATATGCGATTTGGCATTGGTACTTGATGGACGTTTTTGTCTACTTCTCTCATTCTCTCGTCACTCTTCCTCCTCCTTGCTGGACCAATACTGCTCATAGACATGGCGTTAAGGTAATTCGTCTCATTATTCAACATCCGAATTTTGATTTTGGTTGAGGACTTCTTAGAATTTTCGATTCTGTTGCTACATTAATGCCAAAATTCCGATTTCAATTTACAGAGATCTTCCAATTTCTCATTAGATAAGACGCATTGTAGTGGATAAATTAGCTGATTAGGATGTGGAAATTACAGATTTTGATTGTCTGTGTACAGAGATTTCTTCATTGCTGAAATGGGTAATGTTTATGGAAACGTAAAGGTATTGGGGACTTTCATCACAGAATGGGATGAAGGAAAAGCTACCTGCAAAGAGATGCTTGCCACTAAGGAGTCTGCTCAGTTGTATGCAGAGCGTTTGGCAGAACTTTCCACTGCTCTAGGTTTCGATGGATGGCTGGTGAGTTGTTCTTTTGCCAGATTTTTCATGCTTCATCTGCATTTGTCGATGTGAATTATATGATTGTGGTGAAATGATTGTAACATATCTGCATTTCTCTAACATATAAAACTGTCACTTGCAGATAAACATAGAGAACGAAATAGATGAAGAAAAGATTCCAAATCTGAAGGAATTCGTAAGCCATCTAACAAAAGTCTTGCATTTATCTTCACCTGGTGCTTTGGTTATATGGTGAGCTGTTCAGAAGTTTTTTAATTTTTGGTGTGAATATCATTAGTTCTTTTGGTAAACTACTCTAATCGGATAACTTTTTGCAGGTACGACAGTGTCACCATTCATGGTGAACTTAAATGGCAAGATCGGTTGACAGAGAAGAACAAACCTTTCTTTGACATATGCGATGGGATATTCATGAACTACACGTGGAAGGTCTTGCCTTTTGATTTTGATCAATCCATTCAGCCTCGTTTCTTCTTGTATGTCTTGTTGTTGATATGAGATGGTGATGATATTTCAGGAGAGCTTTCCAAAACTATCAGCTGAAGTTGCAGGGGACAGAAAATTCGATGTCTACATGGGAATTGATGTCTTTGGTCGGGGATCTTTTGGTGGTGGGCAATGGACTGTATGTCTCAGAAAACTTTTAATATTTGCGTCTCTATGGTGACAGAGCAAAAGCCAATAATCTGTACATAAATATTTCTTCCTCGTCCTCTTCTTTACACATGCTAGGTAAATGCTGCTCTTGATTTGCTGAAGGAAAACAATGTGTCCACTGCTATTTTTGCTCCTGGATGGGTGTATGAGACTGCACAGCCACCCAATTTTCATACGGCTCAGAATAAGTATCTAATAGTTTGCACTTTCTTTGTTGTCTTTAAATTTTGAACTACCATGAGATGAAATTTGGTATTGTTGTAAAGGAAATGATGGATCTTATTATCATTCATGTGATTTCTCCTCAGATGGTGGTCGCTTGTCGAGAAGTCATGGGGAATAGTCCAAACTTATCCACAAGTCTTGCCTTTCTACTCTGACTTCAATCAGGTAAGATGAGATTGATCAAGTCTTTGTTCCTATCTTTTGACACTAACACCATGCTAAAGTATGCATTGATTTACTTTGTTATCAATGATTATTTTCAGTTTTGTTCTAAATGTGTCTTCTCTTTGTTTTTATTCAGGGCTTTGGTCACCATGTTTCACTCGAAGGTCGCCAATTGTCAGATGCTCCATGGTACAACATTTCTTGCCAGAGTCTTCAGGTTCAACCATTTTACCTCACACATATAATGTTTACATGAAACAAAAACTTTATTAGTCACAATTAATCTTCTTGACCTGAGTTTGTCTCTCCTCTAAATCCGATATCTCTCTTTGTTTCACGACAGCCTCTCCTAGAATTCAATGAAGACAACAAAGATACCATCCAGGTCACTGTTGAGTAAGTGCTTGCTCTAATCCTATCCTCGTATTTATACCATACATTTCTGAGCGAACATTTAAACGATAATTGTACGATGAATTTGATAGTGCTCGAGAGGCATCTTATAACGGAGGAGGGAACATTTCTTTTAAAGGAAAACTCGAGGGAGATGCGTATTTCACAGGAAGGCTCTTCAAATCCCATCTTCCGCTTGCTTCTTCCCCCATCACAGTCTCCTACTCTGTATGTCTCTGCTTAGAGATACATGACATAATGAGATCTTCTTGTTTCTTTTTTTTACTAATGGAGGATTTGGCCTTGGTGCAGGTGAAATCAGATGAAACCTCTAAACTTGGAATTCTGCTATCTTTCTCATCTCCATCGCACGAGACTAAATCCATACTCGTGATGCCACAAGAACCCATCCAAAGATTCAACGACATGTTCTTGCAGTGTCTCGCTACATTATCCCGAACTGTATCCGAGTGGACAGTACACGAGACAAGCCTTGCAATGGATGGCCACACACTGACTGAAATCTCAGCCTTTTGCTACAGATCAGAGAACCCGACAAAGAAACCAGAATATGTCGCCTTGCTCGGCCACATCTCAATCAAAAATCATGTTCAGCTCCACCAGAAACTCGATTCTTTACCTCCAGTGTCATCGTGGGTCATCGAAGCTCATAACGCAGAGCTTGTACCGAGTAATTCCGGTTCCAAGATCCTCAGAGTTAAGCTAGAATGGAAACAGAAACACCTCGAAGATTCCGTGTTCCCAAGGTACAATGTGTACGCAGAGATTGTGAAGTCGACTGATCAAAGATCGAGGAAGGTTCTAGAGAAACCGAGAAGCGAGACAGTGTTCCTCGGGACTGCTCACGTACCTGCCTATTACGTATCGGAAATGGTGGTAGAATCTGACGTGAAAGGAGTCAGCTTCGTGGTTCAAGCCTGTGCTGAAGATGGTTCATGGAAGAAGCTGGATGATTCCCCTAACCTTCTTGTCGAACTGGAAGGTCTCTCGTCTAAAGATTTGTCTTAGGTTGCTCCTGCTTCACGCCAAATTAACTGAAAACGATATATACTGAAAAACACTAAAAATTCTTACCTGAAAAGATTGTAAAAACTAATAAAAGTGTCCATATAACACAGATCATCTTGCAACATCTGTATAATTTGGTTATTTTTTAGTAACTTCTTTCTTACGTCAGATAATAACACACGATGCATTAATTTGCTCAAGGCTTATTCTAGAGACACCACGCGTATGCCACAAGCCATTTCCAGTCTTTCCACGTGTCAAACGAACAGGGAACCTCGTCATCACATCCCTCATCCCATCGCCGTCTCTTAAACCTTTCTGTTACCAGCTCGCCGTTCGCTAACTCCGACGTTTACAGAGAATTTCTCTCTCTCTCTCTCTCTCTCTCTCTATCTAGATCTTAAAGAACCAACAATGTTGCTCAAGGCATCTCCCGCGCTTTCTCTCTTGAGCTCCGGCGGAGGAGATCAGTTTCCTCCGTCCAGAAATTCGTCGAATCTTCTGTTTCCTTCGCGCGCATGTCGTGGATCTACGTTCTCTGTTCGGGCGGCGAAAGGAACGAATAAGTCGTTAACCGGAATTGTGTTTGAGCCTTTTGAAGAAGTGAAGAAAGAAATGGATCTCGTTCCCTCTACGCCTCTGGTTTCTCTCGCTCGACACAAATTCGCCGATGATTCCGAATCTGCGATTAACGATCAGATCAAGTAACTGCTCTTGTTTTCATTTCATCTCAAAAAAATTCGAATCATCTCTCTTCTCCTATATAATCATCCCAAATCGAAATTCGAAGGAGCTAGATATTTGTTCAGCTGTAGATATTCATATAAAATGAAGAAATAGGGAAGCTTAGGATTTTAATTGATTGATTTCTTGCTTCTCAATCGCCATTAATTTATATTGATTTAGCTTCGATTGACTTATCATAATGTGTCACAGCGTGGAGTACAATGTCTCATACATCTATCATGCACTGTACGCTTACTTTGACAGAGACAATGTGGGCTTGAAAGGTTTCGCCAAGTGAGTTTCGTTACTCTACTCAGAACCATATTTGTGTCTCCGTGTCCTTGAATAATCTTTTTCTTGTTGTGGTTTCACTGATAGGTTCTTTAACGATTCGAGTCTTGAAGAAAGAGGTCATGCCGAGAAGTTTATGGAGTACCAGGTATAGTTTTAGTAACTAATCAGCTTATGGACCTTTATTAATGTTTCTTATGGTTTTGATGGGATTCGATCTTCAGAACAAGCGTGGCGGGAGAGTGAAGCTGCAGTCTATTTTGATGCCCTTCTCTGAGTTTGATCACGAAGAGAAAGGAGATGCATTGTATGGTATGTGTTAACATTCAAGCTCATCTAGCTTCACTGCTCTAGCAGCAGCAGTTTAATGATCTTGAGCCTCGCATATATAACAGCTATGGTCTTTAAATGTCTTATGCTCTTGATGATTCTTGACTTTTTAATGTTACAGCGATGGAGCTTGCGCTTTCTTTGGAGAAACTTACAAATGAAAAGCTTCTCAAGTTGCAGAGTGTAACGACACTTTGTTTATCTTTTCGTCAATTCTTCTATCGCAGACCACAATTTGGCTAGTAGAACAGATGAATGATGATCTCTGTCATGTGTTTGATACTGCAGGTGGGTGTGAAGAACAACGATGTTCAGCTGGTTGATTTTGTTGAATCCGAGTTTCTAGGCGAGCAGGTGAAGAGATTACACAAGTTTTCACATTTTCACTACATTTTAAAATTTACACGATGTTCATAAAAAATTCGGTGAAAACAGGTGGAAGCTATCAAGAAAATCTCAGAGTACGTTGCACAGCTGAGAAGAATTGGAAAGGGTCACGGTAAGTCCTTAAAACCCTAAGGATCATTCTTAAAACTGCGATTGCATTTTCGTTTGGCTGTTTAATTAATTATATTAAACTGCAGGAGTTTGGCATTTTGATCAAATGCTTCTGCATGAGGAGGTTTAAGGAAGAAGTGTTGCAGCTTTTTATGACAATCTTTTCCTTGTGCTATACGGCACTGTTCTCTATCTTTGTAACGACGTCTCTAAGTTTGATCGGAGAAAAGTTGTTTTTTCTTCTTTCTTTTCGTGTTTTTTTTTTTTTTTTTTGTTTAAAAGAATGCTTGTGAGTCTGTTAATGTAAGTCGTAGTCTTGAGTCTCTGAGAATAAATGTAAGTCCACTGCTTCAGTGCGATCATCACCATACTTAATTCAACATTAATAAATTGCAAGGCTTGGTGACCAAAAGAAAAAAATCCTTCCAGATCCGGATAATCTGGATCAATTCATAGTTCCGCGCGAGTTCCGACTTCCCGTATTCGATCGGATACTTCAAAATACTCTGCCTCAAAAGAGAAAAAGAAGAATATCGAACACTTAAAATACTCTGCCTCAAAAGAGAAAAAGAAGAAAATACGAAATAGCCATTTAATTTGGTTCAAATGTGAAGCCGTAAATCATAAAGAATTGCATTGGTTTAGTTTTGTGTGTCTATAAGAATCAACTACGTGTCGTTTTATATATCGAAACTACGTGGCGTTGGAAGAAAAATTGCATCTTATAATGCTAAAAGCCTAAATAAACTAATTAGGATGGTGTCCCGGTTCTAAGGGCGGCTTTGCCGCGAAGAGAGAGAGCCTGTCGTCTGAGGGCGGCTCTGACGCGAAGAGAAAGAGGCACGATGTTCGCCATGCCCATTCATAGGTGAGCACTATCCCAGCGGTTCTGGTGGCTCAGATGGAGCGTTTTACGGTCGTTATGATGGCCAAGATGAAGAGCATCGGTTTTTTTTTTCTCTAGTGAAAGTTGAGTCCTTATACGGTGCGTTTAAGGAGTTTAAGGAGGCAAATGGACTGATGGACGTGAGCGACATATACTCAGATCGTCCTCAAATTGATAGATTTATTGGATAATAAAACTGACGCCGAGACACTGAAAATGAAGGCTGTCTGGGATACCGAAAACAACACTATTCCAAATATCAATAATGTTGTGCAAACATTTAGACAATTTAATCTTGAAATCGAGGATTTAAAGCATATGGTGTACTCTTACCGGAGAAGATCCAAGCGATGTTAATGGTTGATCAAGAACCAGTTAATAAAGTTGAGGGTAGGGACGCTATTGATAACCGCATCGAGCTGGAGCTGCTTAAATGGGGTATGAACTACGAGCCTCCAGCTCCTTTGTTGCTGATTGGAGGGGATGAAGACTACTTGCCGATTGTAATGGAGCTAGTCAATTGATGACGCAAATGGTGAGCACTATTCCGGTGGTGGCGGTTCTGATGGCTCGGATGGAGCTCGGATGTCCAGTGAAGTGGGTGTTTCCATCCATTCATGTGTAGATTGGGTACAAAATGTGACACATTCCAAAATGATGACGGTTTTTATATATTTTGGAAAAATTGGAATAATATATTATTAGACTTTCTTAGAAACTTTTTTATAAAGAAAAATGGTAAGATCATTAAATATCAACTTTAGACATATTTCAATAATTAATTTAGAAAAACCTTAAAATTTATTAACTTTGCTAATAATTAGGATGGTTCAGGTAAATATTTTTCAATTAAAAGTTTAGTGTCAAAACAAAGTTATTTTCTATTAGTGTATAAGTTTTCTCTATTTAATTAGTTAGACCTAAAACATTTTTAACGAATCGAATTAAACCCAAATGACTAAACATATATGAAACAAACATTGACTATAGACTTAAATGCAATCCCCAAAACTATTTTATAGTTTATGGAGCAATTCCATTTTTGGAAAAAAACCTAAAACATTAGGATTAAATGGGATATCCTATGTAATATTATTTTGTGACTACAATTTACTTTGTAATATTATGGTATATTTGGATATATGATGTATGTAACTATAGCCTCATTTTAAATGTTTGTGTGAAGGCAAATGCGAGTTCTGAAACTAGTTCTAAAAGGTCTAAACTCATAGATAACTTATTGCGATGAGTAAATTGGTGATAATCTTAAACTTATATCATTCCACAATTGAAACAATTTTCTTTATGATTATCTCTAAATCTTCCACATATTTCGATGACCAAAAACAAGGCTCTAATAAAATAATCATGATTAATTTACCGGTGTTCTCGATTTCATGGAGAAGGATGTTAAAACGACTACGTATCATTCAACCGGAGAGAAGGCTAACAATGTAGCTTGGATTGAATTGCCAACATCACTTGTTGACACTGTTTTAGCAGCTGGTAAAGCGTCAAGAATTAGTCATTTCTCTTTTGGAAAACTCCATTCGTGTGAAGGCCAAATTTGTGGATCCATTTGGAATTATGTATCCGCCGGCGTTGTGAATAATTCTCAATTACCATGTTTTCACTATGTTGGCGACGTGGCATATCTCTTTCGCTCTTTATTTTCCCCAAATATTTGGGAAAATCTAAAACGACTTTGAATTGTCGTTGATAATATGCATGAGAAGAAAATGTAGACGAGATAACAAAGGCATTTATGAGTTATGTGTATTCAATTATATCTTGTCATGAAATTAGAATACAAACAACTCATGTATCAAAGGTTCAATACTATTATTGTTTTGTAGGAGGAAGAGAAACTGTGTGAAACAAAGGATGAAGACGTAAACATTAGATTGTTAGATGAAGGTGTATATATAATACCATATTGTTTTTGTTTCCAAATACCAATGATGTTGCTTGATTATAACATTTTGATGGTCTAAAAAAAAAAAAAAGAGTAGTCAGATTATGATAGAAAAATCTTGAGAGGGCATTCCCAATGGAAGTGTTCACCGATCTTTTCAAGCAAATGAAAGCATTCCCAATGTTTCGATTTTCTGAAGTTAGTGTTCATCATTTTAGGGTTTATGTAGTGAATTTTCAGATGATTTTTAACTTGAGTTGACGACCGCAAAAACATATACTGTATTTTTGAAGAAGAAATCATGTCATTTTGAAAACAACTCATGTTATTATAGACGGAGAAAGTAGTACTCCTACTAGGCTACTACATTAATTAACATGAAATAAGTTGAGAGGTTTTGATATTAAATATGTGAGGTTTTATCCCCAACCATTAGCATTAAACCCCCAAAAAATCTCTAAAATCTAAAACAGAGGAAAAACTGGAGAAAACGAAACGACATTAGCTTTATTCAAACAAAAAAAGAAAAAATCTTCGTCAATGGAAGAAAATGCTTCAGCTTCCTCACCGAATCCACAGTTTTTCCAGCCTCTTCTTCCTGGATTCCACAGCCACCTAGTAATCTCTCTCTTTCTCTCTCTCTGTATATGCATGAATCTGCTCTTTCGATCTTTTTCTTGGTTTCTTTTGTTGCAGAGCATTCCCATTGAGTTCTTCTCAAAGCACATAAAGGGAACAACAAACGAGGGCTATGCGGTGGTAAAGCTGAGATCAGACGCTTCTGATATAACCTGGGAAGTGAAGTTGGACGGTCGGAGACTCACCCAAGGCTGGCAAAATTTCGCCACCAGTCATGATCTCCGAGTCGGTGACGTAGTCGTTTTCAGACATGACGGAGATTCATTGTTCCATGTCACATGTCTTGGACCCAGTTGCTGTGAGATTCAATATCAAGATGTTGCTGATGATGTCATTCAAACATCCTCTGGTACTAACTACTAAACCTCTCTGTGATTGTATACACTAATACTTGGTTATTTCCAATATTCTGTTTAGATTCTTATTTCAAAGTTGAAACAGATTCAGATTCGGAGAAGTATCAACAGACAAGAGAAGAAGGTTCTTCATCGGATGAGTCTTGTTTTGTAGCTCGTGTCACCGAGTCAAATCTAAGAAAAGATGCAATGGTGTGAAAAATTGCTTTTGCATTCGTTTTTACTTCTCCTTAGATTTTTGTTTAAATCTTAATCATATATATATATATATATATATATATATATATATATATATATATACTCGCTGTGAATTTTGCACTTTCTTCCAATGGACTTTTCAAGGTCTAATGGACTGACGAATCGTCGTGAGTGCGAGATCACACTACGAAATGAAGATGGGGTTCCATGGAGATTATTACTGAGTTATCACAAAACACAGGGTCATGTTTACATCAGACGCGGCTGGAGAAGTTTCTGCCACGAAAATAAAAAAAGAGCCAACGTTTTTGTGACTTTTAAGCTTGTCCAAACAGGTGCAAAACCTGTCCTCCAGTTGTGTTCTTCTTCATCTTCATCTCCAACAAGCCAAGACAGATTCTTGACACTAACTCTCACACCATACAATGTCAAGATGTGTAAACTGGTAAGTTTCAGTCAATCGTTCAACATTGTATATATCAGAGTTGTTCTAATGTTTTCGAGTCTACATGGCAGTGTGTACCGCAGAAATTTGTGAAGGCAAATGGTATCAAGAGCGCGAAGAAGAGATAACTCTTGTGGATAGATACGGTATCAAAAGGACAACGACTCTTAAACCTGACAACAAACAAGGAATCATGAGACTGGGAAAAGAGTGGAGAGAGTTTTGTGAAGTTAATGGAGTGAAGGTAGGCGAGTCCTTCAAGATGGAACTCATCAAGGAAGAAGAAGAAGACATCAGAGCGACTCATCTACTTAAATTCTGCTCCAAAGTCTTAAACTCTCACTGATTTTGTTTTGCTTCTCTCATATCAAATTGCAATCTGTATTTTTTTAGTTGGCTTGTTCTTCTGATGAGAACCTTCCAACAAGAATGGCTTCATCTCTATTTATTAATTACTTTCTCTATTAAACTCTAAACTAAGCTTTATGTTCATCCAAGCAATAATCTCTATATTTTCAAACAACAAAGAACCTTCTGCGCCAGAAAGAGGCTCTACTGGATCAATAATCTAGAGTAAATGAGTGAAACCCTCTGTGCCAATTAGAGAGTCACTTATACGCTTCTTCTGGTCGTCGTCACAATTTATATTCCTCCGATTTGCCGAAAACTCGAAATCGTACTCAGTTGCTTTCTCTCTGTCCCCATGGCGAATCCGACGGAGAATCTCGACTTGAATCCACCAACCCGAGCACCAGAATACGAAGAGGAAGAAGTTGAAGAACTGAACGGCGACGAGGAAGAAGAAGAAGAAGAAGAGGAGGAGGACGAAGGAGAAGACGACGATGATACCGTCTCGAAATCTCAAACGCGCGAGCGCCGATCCAGCGTGGACAGGAGCAACGCGGAGTCGCTCTTCCGTCGGATGCGAGCAGCTCCTGTGCCGATGCGCGTTCACGACGTGATCCTCAAAGGGAACGAGAAGACCAAGGACCACATCATCGAGGCGGAAGTTCGTGCTGTGAGAGAGGCGAGCACGTTGCAGGAGCTTCTCCAAGCCTCTTCGGTTGCCAATTCGAATCTCCGAGCTCTCGATATCTTCGATTCCGTCAACATCACGCTCGATTCTGGTCCGCCGGAGCTTCCTGGCACCACCAATGTCGTCATCGAAGTTGTCGAGAGCAAAAACCCTCTCACCGGCCAAATCGGCGCCTTCACTAGAGCTGAGGTATTGCTTCAATCGCAACATTTCACTTCTAGGTTTCAATTGAATTGGTTTATCGGATATTCGCCTCTATAGAGTTGAATTAGTCGTCTTCACGAAGCTGTTTCTGGTGTGATAATGTGTATTTCTCTTTTAGACTTGCTTGTGATCTTACTTGATGAATTTGTAGAGTTGGTCATAACTGTGAATGATGATCTTGTAGGCTAGATCATCGAGCGTTGAAGCATCATTGAAGTATAAGAACATTTTTGGGTATGGAGATATTTGGGACGGCTCTGTAGTTTATGGATGTGACAACTCCGTTGAGGTTGGCTTGGGGATGTATCTGCCAAAGTTCAAAGGACTTCCTACACCGTTCACTTCCCGTCTTTACCTTTCGACTCAAGACTGGCTGCAATTCTCTTCTTATAAAGAACGAGCTCTCGGACTCTCTCTAGGGCTTCTCTCAACCAAGTACCACGAGCTGGTTTACACTGTTGCGTGGCGTAACCTGATAGACCCGTCCCAATCTGCTTCAAAATCAATAAGGAGGCAGCTTGGACACAGTCTGCTCTCTGCATTGAAGTATACTTTTAGCTATGACCAGAGAGACTCATCCTTGAGGCCAACAAGTGGATATGCTTTCACCTCTGCTTCTCAAATCGGTGGTCTTGCTCCTGATAGCCGAAGCCTACGCTTTTTGAAGCAGGTTCGTCCCCTTTTTCATTCATATCCATAAACCTTGTATCGCAAAGTCTTGTAAGAGTAAAGAAGAAGATTCTTAGACCTCTGATTTCATTTCTCGTTTGTTTTCTCAGGAGATTGATCTTCGATACGCTGTTCCATTTGGGTTTTACCAAGCTGCTCTGAACTTTGGTGTGTCTGGAGGTGTGACCTTTCCATGGGGAAGTGGATACCAGAACCGAGCTTCCTCTGTGCCAGAGAGATTCTTCTTGGGTGGGAATTCATCGCCTGTGTGCTCTTTGGGTGGGCCATCGGCGCTATGGGGATTCAAGACCAGAGGACTTGGTCCTAACGAGCCAAAGAGTAAAGGCAACGACGAGAGAGATTTCGTTGGAGGAGATGCTGCGGTCACTGCGTTTGCGGATCTCTCGTTTGATTTCCCGGTGAGATGGTTGAGAGAGAGAGGAATCCACGGGCATGTGTTTGCTTGTGCGGGGAACATGGCGAAGCTGACTGAGAATGAGTTTAGAAACTTGAGTGCTCCAAAGTTCTTGGAGACGTTTAGAACTTCAGTTGGTGCTGGAATCGTCTTACCGACTAGTCTCTTCCGTATGGAGGTTTGGTTTCTCATCACTTACTCTCTTTTCTGCATTGCTTTATCGAATGAAAGTGAGATGATTAACACCCAAATTCTCCATCTTTTTTTGGTTTGCTTTTGTTGTGAGACAGGTTAACTACTGCCATATATTGAAGAAACAAGAACACGACCGAGCGAAATCTGGGTTTTTCCTTACATTCTCTGCCGCGTCCTGAGGAATTTTAAGTTGAAGAAGGTACTCAAATATTGACAAGGCCTTTCAGTTTTATTTTCTTAAACCGTGCAGCAATGTCTGGCAGATATTATTTCATTGTTGAAACTGAGAAATGTTTTAGAAAGAGTTGATGATTTGTCATCATGTTTGCAATGATTTTTCATTTTTTTTTTTTGGATTCACGAGGAATAACAAAAGAAGAATTGTTGGCCGTAAATTTTTTTCTGGAAAACTTCTATGTTCTTCTTTTGTTAAACTCCCTTTAAACGAAACTAGGTAAACTAGTTATCGCAGTTAGTATTTTAAACAACAAGTACCGTAATTTATCTCAAGCAATATCAGTCCACATCTGATTTTCTTCTTCACAAAGACTTTCGTGACTGTTTAATAGAGTGTATATTAGCATTTCATTTGGTTGGACAAACAACAACTTGAAATTTCTTGTAACTAAAGCAGGAAACCAAAATGTATGGAAATTGAACGACTATATTAAAACACAAAGACTTGTATTGGCCGCGTTCGAAACGAAGAACATTTAGAAGTAGAAAGACTAGTCATAGTGAGTCAATTATTTTGTATAAAAAGGAGCCATGAAACCGTGTTACCATTATTGATGTTGGAGCAAGTTATGTTGGCTTAGAGAAGTATTGAAGTTTCTTGGAACCCAAGGAGTATCATTCCTGATACTCTTTCTTTACTCTTCTTATTCACCTAAAATATCGAAGGATGTGTTTACAGCTCCTACTAGGCACTTGTGTCTTCCCGAACAAAGGGACGCACTTCTCGAATTCAAGAACGAGTCTGAGATTCACAAGTCCTTGTTCTAAGGCGGAGTCATGGACGAATAACAGCGACTGTTGCAATACCAAGTCCGGAGAAGTGAAATGAGCTCACTTCTCTCCACCTTTCTATCAACAATTTCGTTGGTGAAATCCTATCTTCTTTTGTCGATCTAAACCAGCTGACTAGCTTTGGTGTGTTTATTTCAATAAGTTCAGTGGAGAATTTCCCATTGCACTAATGCATTTGACAAGATAGATTATCACATTTATTTATTACTTAGCAGCACACGAATCATTTCACATGCACGCTTCCTCCCAACTTCATTTAACTATTCCAAGTTGAGACTTTGTTTGATGCAAGTGACAACGCTTTCACAGGAACCCTTCCCTTCTTCTGTCTTCGCTATTACTTCTTTTGACTGAAATTGGTTCGAGTGATAACTAGCTCAACGACACTCTTGAGTTTGGGAATATATCTTCACCATCTAACCAACCAAAAAGTTGGCAATTGGCAGCAACAAGTTTGCCAATCCAAAAATCCATTTACAAACAAGAGTTTTAACTTTTAACATATCTCATTTCAACACCCAAGGCCCTGTTGACTTTAGTATCTTCTCTTATCTTAACTCGCTCCAATATCTCTATCTATCCCATTTGAACACCACTAGGTCCACTACCGTTGACTTGAATGATACCATGTTTTAATATCTAACGTTCTTGCTCCAACAGATTTCGGGTAAACCCAGCCCTTCCAAATGAGGAGCAAATATTTAACACAAAAGCAAACATTTCGAAGGATTTCTCTCTTTTTTTTCCTCTTGAGTATAATAGTTCGCTAAATAAAACAATGATGATGAGTTAGGGGGTGGGATTTCTTTGTGGCTAACAAGAAGGCAGTGATAAGACAAGGAATACCTCGGAGACTATAATCAAAGAATGGATGATGATGAATGGATGCATTGTTCTTATGTTTTATTTGCGAAATGACAAGGAAAAAAGAAAAGAAAATAAACAAACGAAAGATTTTGTTACACAATCTGTTATTAGCAGTTTGTTAACATTGTTGTATATTTGTACTCAATTTACAAAGGTTAAAAGATTTCAAGACTGTTAGGATTTTTGAATGTTTGATTTAACAAACGATAAGTCACTGAATGTTCTTGTTATTGGTAGATTCTCAATCATAATGAATGATGAGTAGAAGAAGAGGAAGACAAAGAAAGAAGTGCAAATGGATAGTGAAGGGGTCGGTGGTGGTGGGCTTCTCATTCTCTCTCTTTTCTTGTCAAATGTCTTGTCTTCTCCATTTCCACACTCCAATTTCTAGAGCAACCAACCAGTGATTTATGTGCTTAAACATGTAGTAAATACTTGCAAAAAAAACAAAAACAAAAAGACAAAAAAGGATGTCTGCTCAATTCAATTTGGTTTTAAGCATCATCACCCACTTGGAATTGGAGAATGTGAAATCTATATCATATTTTCCTTATTGACTTTTTCATTTAATCCAAGTCTTGCTTCTCTTTGTTAATGTCCACAATCTCAAAAAGAGAAAAATATAGCTGATTGGTTACTTTTGCTCTCTGTAGTCCATACTTTGATTTGTCAACATTATACTCAAAGCTTAATACGATAATCTCAAAGATAAATCAGTATATGATTATGATGTATGACCTAAAGAGCTTGGACTCGAACCCACGAGCCAATCATGTAATTAGCAAAAAAAAAGCTCAAGCCAACACAAATGATGAATAGGCCCATGCCTTGTCCCATTGTGTTCCCTTCTCTAACACTCTTCTTCACAAAAAGTTAAAAAGAGTCTAATAATATATAAAGGACGCACGAGATAAAACTTAGGAAAAACGAGAGCCTAACATTTGCCACCTAAAATCTCCCACAAACCAAAGAAAAAAGATTTGAGATGAGAGGGCATGAGCCACGATCAAGCTCTTCTTGTGCAGCCTGCAAGCTCTTGAAGAGACGATGCACACCCACTTGCATTTTCGCTCCTTACTTCCGTTCAAGTGATCCTCTGACTTTCGCCAAAGTCCACAAAGTTTTTGGCGCCAGCAACGTGAGTAAGCTTCTCGGTGAGGTCCCTGAAGAGCAGAGACAAGAAACCGTTAACTCGCTGGCTTATGAGGCCGAGGTTCGTCTCAAGGACCCTGTTTACGGTTGCATTGGAGCCATAGCTTCTCTGCAGAAGAAGATGCTCGAGCTTCAACATGACCTAGCCGTTGCTCGCACTCGACTACTTGCCCGCTCTGGGGTCAACAACAACAACCACGTGTCCCCTTTGGATGATTCTCCTGAGCTCGCTGCTTTTCTTGATCTTGTACCTTATAGTGACTTGATGTTGCTTGACGGCTCTAATCTTGATGCTTACTTGTATGATCTTGGACAACCTCCCTTTGTATAGGTCTTATCTACTTATCTACTGTATTTCCACTTGCTTAGAAATCTTCTTCCCAATCTAATGTATGTATCCGAATATGCAAAATCAAGTGCTTACTTCATCATTTGTATAAAAACTTAGATTTAACTTGGAAAGTAACCATCAAATCCAATAAAGAACACTGAGGTACATGATGTTGAGCCTTGGAAGGTCAGCGTCCTTACCAGTTTAGGACCAAGCGGTAGGCCAGCACGAGTAAAGTGAGCTTCTTTGTAAGTCAGGTCTAAGTAGGAGAGCACATGCTTATGTCAGCCCCAAATTCTACCAAACATGGAACATTGATAGATATGCTTCTGTGATTTTCCTTATGAGACTCCAATAATACACCCTCATGTGTCACCTCTTGTCCATCAGTTCACGAGTGTCTTGTCATGGAGAGGTTCCAGATTGCTGCAAAGTCAGTCACATAAGCAAACAGCCAAATCAATAGCTTGGTGGGTTTGTTCAGTTTCCAAAAGTGAATTATGGAAGAACATGAATGGTTCTCTTCACCATTTGCTTAAACTGATTAAGCAAAAGACTAATTGCAGATCACAAGAAAGAAATATGAGAAGGCATTGATACACAAACCATCGTACATTGATACTTCACAAAAGTACATTTTGATATGTCAGATACTAATAGAGCTCTTTTGGTAATCTGTATTGCTACAAATGTACCCTACAGTGCTAGAGAAGAAGAAGAAGAAGAAGAAGAAAAATACAGATTTTGTTCTAACTTGCAACCTAAGGATTAACAGTAATAACAGCTTCTCCAATCTCGATGAGCTTCAGATTCAACCATTGCTCATTGCTTCCACACAGTAGCTCCTCCATCAACCTAATCCTACAACTTCTTACCTGCCCAAAAACATAGCACAATCCTAGTTTCAGTATACTCATCATCATATCATCCATAAACTTAAACACAAAATCAAGAGCAGCTGCCCAAAGCACAATCAAGAATCCACAAATTGAAAGCAGAGAGGCTAAATTAAGCTCAGCTAATACCATATACTGACGAAGTTTCAATCTTGATAAGCACATAAAAACGAAAACTTTACCAAATTCACATTTTTGCTTAAGCAGAGGAGGACAAAGGCAGTGTCTTTATTTACCTGAAGAAGCTCTACGTTTGCCAAGCTTGGATTTCTCAAGCTCCAATTGCATATCCATCAACATGTTCATTCGTTGTAACTCAAGCTCTTTGGCAGTTTCCATTCTCTGCTTCTCCAAATCAATCATCATCTGCTGCTTCGTACTCTCGATTCTCTCGTACACTTCCCCTAAATTCAGAATCGCTCTCGCTAGCTCCCTACACGATGATCCTTCGCTCGGATCTGCATCTTCCACTCGCCGATGCTTCCTCACAACAAACCCCCAATCACCCACGTCGTCGTCATCGTCATCATCATCGTCGTCGTCGAGGGAGCTTCCAGTAGATTTAGATCCGGTGGGAATCAAATTAGGGTTCATCATCGCCGATTTGACAACCCCGGCGCCGGCGGATTTCTTCAACACGGGTCCGATTAAGAAATCGAGCCTATCGAAGAAGCACCAGGAGGAATTGGATTTGGCCTTCTCCGTTTTGTACTTCTTCTTCAGCGTGTCGATCCGGTTCTTGCACTGGATGTCGGTCTTCGGCCGGCCGTTCCCGTGGCTCGAATTGACGGTGTCGGCGACTTCTTTCCAATCGTTCTGCCGGAGATTTCCGCGGTTGAGATGGACGTACCGGTCTCCCCAGGCCTCGATCAGCGTCGCCGTCGCGTCCTCGCTCCACCAGTCCTCTCGTCCCGCCGGCTGACGGTGAGACCCGCTCTGCGACTGGGACTTGGACTGAGTCTCCGGCGTCGTCGCCATTTCGGAGGGAGGAGGAGACTAACGTGCGCGGTGAAGAAAGGAAGAGGCTTAGGATAAGAATGTGTGGAGGAGGGAGAGGTAGAGAAATCGGATTTTGGGTAAGAGTAAAGAGAAAAACGGTTAAGGGGGTGATTGATTACCGGCAGTGACGTCAGCAACGGCGATTGTCATCTTTCTCGTTCCTCTCTTTTTCTCCGCTAACCGAACCAAATCATTCATCCGTCTAACCCGGTTTGGTCTTCAAATGGGTCCCGCAAGTACGGTCGATCTCAAGCTGCCTTTGTTTAATGCGTTTCGATCGAAGGCTAATGATTTGATTAATTAAGTTCATTAAAGTAAACTCATAGACTGATCGATGATCGATAATGACGGTTTTTGGGTTAAATTTGCCTATAACTTTTGTACTGTTTTTGCTGTTATCAGTTTAAGTGTTGGATCAGTCCATATAGCATCATAAAACCCTATTTTTGAGTGTCTTTTGTTTGTGTAACTTGGAAAAGAATAAAAATTTATACAATTTGTCAGTATTATGAAAATGAAAACAAAAAGATGAAGGCTTAAATATTTCTCTAGGCTGTTGCTTAATGTCACTAAATTGTGAATAAATGTTATAGAACAAGAAGAAGACTTATACGTTTTGTGTATTCATGTAACTAAATCATAATGTAACAAAATGGAGTAGGAGGGTTTGGAAGTACGAAAAATGGTGGGATGTAATGAAGGAAAGAGGTGAGTAGAGCTAATTGTTAGGTAAGATATCATCCCAAACGTGTTAGGAGACTATTTCGTGACGTGCCTTGTCTATATCTTTATGTCCTTTTGCTTTCTCTCGCTAATTAATATACCATTCCATGCCTAATCACTGTTTTTCTCCTCCACATTTGTAGAAAGGTGAGTAACTTGTAATTATGAATAGGCAAATACAGCTTTTGCATGCAATATTGCGGGAAAAGAATCAAGAAAATCAAAGGAAAACTAAGGTTATAATAAGTTAATAGGCCAATATAATCTCAGTCCTATTTTAGTATCCATATTGTTATTATGTTGCTACCATTTGGATGTCGATAAAAGACAAACTTGCATGCCGCCTAATGAAGCCTTTAAGTAATTTAGTTCACGAAGCACTTAAAGATAAAAAAACAATTTTAAAGCCCACTTTCCTCCAAACTTTGACTCTTACTTGTACTACTCGTCGAACCTTCGAATAATACTACTATTCTCTATGCATATTTTTTTTATTAAAAAAAATTATCAAATGTTTACGAGCACGTGAGTGTGACTAAACATTAACTGTATAAATATACACATTATGCGTTTGCAACCAACGACCAGAAACAGTGAAACGCCATTCAATCGCCTGCCGGGAAAATGACGTCATCATCACCGTCTCCTAAACCCTCAATGCTCTTGTACTGGCACGAGAACCAATACGACGATCGGAACTTCCAGATCCACGGCCGGACAATCTTCTTCGCCATGGCTCTCATCTCCGTCGTCCTCTTCCTCGCACTACTCACTCTCTACGTCCACCGGACCTGCCTCATACGCAATCCCATTAGTCTCCACCAGCCGTCTCCTCCTCTCACGCGGTGCGTTAGCGGAGGGCTTGATCCGGAAGTGATTCGGAGCTTGCCGGTGCTACTTTGCCGTAGAGAAGCGGAGGAGGAAGAGAGGGAGTGTTGTATATGTCTCGGTGGTTTCGAGGAAGGGGAGAAGATGAAAGTGCTGCCTCCGTGCCGCCATTGTTACCACTGCGAATGTGTGGACCAGTGGCTTAAGACGGAGTCGAGTTGTCCGCTCTGCCGAGTCTCCATACGAGTCGACTCGTCCGTGTCGATAACCACGCAGCGAGACTGAAAACGACGGCGTGTTGAGTGACAGTGATTAAAGATATTAGTTTCGTTTGTTTTTGTCATTGGGTGAGTAAAAGATATTCTATACAAACACAGTAATGGGAGAAAATTACACTCATGTGCACTTTTTGAGTTTGACTTTACAGTTTGAGGAACTTTGTGAAACTTTTTGAGTTTGACTTTACAGTTTGAGGAACTTTGTGAAAGTAGTGCATTTTTCGTTATAAGAGTTTACATATTTGCCCTCCTTTCTATATTTACCCTCAAACTCAATCTCATTCACTTTCCTTGATCTCGTTACTTTTTGCTTTTTCCTCAATTTGTTTTTTCCTTTATTTATTTATTTTCTAGTATCATTATCTCTCAAATTAATTTTTTATAATTTGATTGAGAAAATCCGTTGAGTCTTTTAATTTGTTTGAGATTAAGATAAATACACAATTCATTAAATCCTCAATTTGTTTCTACTCTGACAATATTGCTTTTATTTTTGGTATTCACTACCTGGATTTCCTGTGATCGATTTCTTCTCCCTTCGTTGCTAGATGAAGTAAATTGGCGAAAACAAGGCATAAGAAGAATGAAGGATCGATATAAATGACACGATTAAGCTACGTTTATGATATTAATAAAATTTCAATGGATGTTGCTTTTACAGCTAACGGTGGTAGAGTAAAAGAGATAAAAGCTTGGTTACACAAAATTGTATGAATGGTTTTTTTTCTTTCTTTTTTAATTGATGGATGGATGGAAATTGCATGGATGGATTTGTATGGATGGAAATTAGATGGATGGATTTATATGGATGAATTTATAATTTGGTTGATAGATAAGAAAATCCAGAAAAATGGATATCAAAAAACCAAAAACTATTTTCATCAGAAGAAGCTGAAAGAGGATTTTATGTACGAAGATGGATTGTTTTTCATCCAATTAACGTCTATCCAATCACCGTATATTATTTAACATGGGCAAAGTGTTGTGGATTAGTAAGGTGGATAAAGAATTGTTAAATAATTATCATGGACAAAGTGTTGTATAAAGTTGATCCATCCATAAAACAATTGTCCACAGCCGAATGTACAAATCATATATACATAATCATCCATCATAGTAGAAATTAAAAAGCTTATTTGGGAGTTCAATAAAGAATGTGATCTACAAAATGATAAGAAATAAACTAACAATGTTGGTATTTTTTACTTGCTCTTATATACCGTTGCAGGTGCGACACGATGCGAACAAAGGTGAACTTGGAAAAAGAACATAATTTAGAGTTACCATGACAGAGTGTTCGTAGAGATGAAAAATGCCCATATCAATATCTTTTAATCACATCCACACAATTTTTTCATTTCATTACAGATCTAACGGTTCATATTTTATAATATCTAACTAGAACAATTTTTTCTTCCTTCTCGTTAGAGGGCACGATGGTATTAAAAAAGATTGTACAGTGGAAAAAGTCCACTTCTGAACAAAAGTCCCTCTTTTTGTAAAGAAACCTCAAAAAGTCACCCATATTGTAAATCACTCCAGGAATGGTTATAGTTTCTTTTGGAAAAAAGAAAGATTCTTCATGTAAATCTGTTCCTTTTTGTCTTTGTCAGACACTGATTGTGAAGTTTATATAATTTATTGTGTAGATATTTATAGGGGTGAATTTGGTGAATAATTACATTGAGAGACATAATGGAGGATATAACCATAAGGAATTTGGAATTAGAAATGTGGTAAAGGTGATTGTGAATTTACGGCAAAGGACTCACTTAAATAAGAGGGAAGAAGATCTCGTACCGGCTGAGACGGGAATAAAGATGATGTGGGCAAATAGTGAACATGACCACATATAATATGTTTGAACATAACAAGATTCGTAATGTAATTAACTACCACATAATTTTACCGAAGAACTAAAACCTCTCACTTAGAATTGGAAAGAACCCTAAACACTAAAACATGAACCCCTAATCAGGAGAATATACACACTATTAGATAAATAGATAACCGTAAAACCCCTCGTACAAACATTATATAAAACCGATAACAATTGTTTCGATGTTATCGGTGAAACAATACGTACATCATAAACACCAAACTATAAAACATCAACCTAAACACACAAATTATGTGACAATATACACTAAAACGGGAAACAGAAGCACTAACCGTCATCATAGAAAACTAAAGAGCATAAAAAGGAGGGGAACCTATACTACATATGAAAAAAATATGGAATCAGTCTGGTCTGATGGTGTTTCCTTTGAAATGACACAACCCTTACAAATACTTCGTCTAATTAATTTTTGCTTCCCCAAGCAACCAAACCCTAAATACTAAACCACTAAACACGAAGCCTCAAACCCTAAACCTAAATCCATAAACTTTTTGAAATGAATCCTACATTATACAATGTAAGTCTAAGCACTACACACTAAACCCTACACTCTACATCCTAAACCATCAAAACTAAACCCTAAACCATTACCAATTAACCCTAACCCTAAATACGAAACGTGAAACCCTACAAAGAGAAAAAGAAACCCATCCTTCGTAACCAGTGACCCTGACCGTGGTGAATTACATAGGCACTGAAATCCCTAATCCCTGGACTTGACATATAAACCCTACACAGACCAAATCTTCTACTGTACACGACATACTATACTACACAACATTATAGCATATAATAATATTATGTATGTTGTAGTCTATTTATGTGAATATATAGTATGGTGGAAAGTAACTTGATTGTATACTATGGCCATATTTGTTTCATGGTCGCTGCGACCAGCGTTAGCGGCAAGAGAAAAAAACGCTGACGGAGGTGGTGGTGGAGAAAAAGGGGTATGTTGCCGTTTAAGGAGTCGCAATTGCCATTGAAAGGAGCTGCAACTGACGCTAAAATTTTCAACGACCAGATGGTTGTCCGTAAACAGTTGCAGCGTCACTCCGAACGGTATACTCTCCACAAAACTTGCCTTCCAAGTATCATTAATGTGGCCGCTGACGCAAACGATATGCGACCACAATGATTGTCATTCCACATGGGATACAATTTATGATTCGGTAAGAAACGGATTCTATGTTAAACTCGACCGTCAAAAATCAAAGTGAATCTGCCTCTCTTCTCCACGTTGAACTGATTGTAAGAGTTAAGGAAATTCTAGGTGGTGACCAGCGAAGAGAACGTCCAAATTTTGAGTTTTGAATGTCTCTTTCTCTTTCCCCGAACCTAGTAACCAATTTAATTAGCCGGTCACCACATATACAACGAAGTTCACATTTCACTTTCTTATGCGTGGGACATTTTGAGCAATATTACAGAATATATACAGAATACTCTAGCTATAAAAAATAATGGCTAGTCTCTTAATTCAACTGCTCAATATAATTATTCAGTATAGTTTCCCTATTTATAGTTCAAAACAGATGATTAAAGATTTAGTTGTACTTTGTTGACATAAATTATTGTGTATCTAAAACTGAATTACAATTTATACGGTTGACTCAAAATCCCAAATTAGTAACATAACAAGGTACAATTTTCAGAAAGGCTTCTACAATGGGTTTTATTGGGCATAAAATTGGCATTAGATCGGCCCAACAGTTGAAAACGAATCTCTAGGGTTAAGTTTTGCTGTCGTATAAAGAAGAAATATGAGCAAATCAATAAAATCTTTCCGGCTTGTTCCGCCGCTCATTTCCTGAAAGCTGCATCGAATCGGAGGAGTGAAGGGTTTGTCTTGTCTGAATTCACCATGAGGGCTAAGGTGAGTAATGAGTGCCAGTTGTTTTAGTGGATTCTAATTTTGTATGAATCGGAATATTTAGGAATTAGGAGTAAAGATATTTACGGTGTGTAATGTTGGGTTGTATCTCAGTGGAAGAAGAAGCGTATGAGGAGGTTGAAGAGGAAGAGGCGAAAGATGAGACAGCGATCTAAGTAGTTTCGAACATCCCCTGTTTTGTGTTTCTTCGATTTAAGTTTATCGACTCTGTTTCTGAGTTTCGATTTGAATACTTGCGTTTGGACCAGATTAATAGACGTCATGTTTTCTTTTAAGGATTATGTTTATCATTACATGGTGGAATATCTATTATTCTTGTCTTATGTATGTTGATTGATGCTTACCAATCTGCGTAGTTATAGATTCTGAGATGCTCTTAACAAGTTAGGTTGTGATAATTGATGATTGCTTCGTCTGTTGAAAATGGGAATAGTAACTAATTGAAGCAGTAGATTATTCTGGTCACACTTACCTATGGATGCAGTGCGTTTTGTGTGATTGAGATAGGAATTCTTGCTTGTTGAAAGGATTTACAAACAAAAAACGTAGCGAATTATTAGAATTTAGAAGTATACCAAAAGAGAGCAATGTAACAATGAAACAAAAAAGAATTTGTGGAATGGATTTTTGTTGTGCAAGTGGAAATTAGAAGATAACTTTTATTTGGGATTATGGAATTGAGTATTTGAATTTTAGAAGTGACAGCGATTCATGTAACATGGTATTTTCGTACTCAGTTTTATCACATCCAAGAACAATAGAAAGTGTGTTCTACAAAAAACTTATAATTACTCGAACTGGGTTCTTTGTTTTTTTTTGTATGAGCAAAGCTCAAAAAGGGTTTGAAAATTACGAAATTTAAATGTAAAGAGTGTCATAAGAAAACCCATAATAACTCAACGATAGTTATGACTCCAACTCCATCACTGGACCTTTTAGTTTTGCTGAAGAACCTTTCTGTATATTTTACTTAACTATTACAGAGTCCAGTATTGATATCGCACATCTCTGATTTTTGACATATCTTTTAGTATCAGTATGAAATGAATACAACCACGTGGCTGCATGAATATAAACACTTGCATGTGACTATGTGAATGTGAGCATGTGTTTCTTTGTCTTCACCAACTCTATTTTGGTTGTGGGAGTTTTGACTTTCTGTTCGAAAGCTTGTTGGATAAATTGATAGATCAATTTAACATTTGTAATTTTTTTTTTTTGTGTTTCTCTTTCTTTAATCAGAATTTGGGATTGCTACTTGGTTCCGTGTACTCCAATCATCATCCCAACAATTAATCCCAAATGACCTAAATTACTTGAAACGGATGAAATATTGTTTATTTAGTCGACATCATTCGTCATTTTATTTTTAGATAATAGCAAACAGGAGGCTTATACAAATTTAGGAATGGACAACCTTCAACGACTCATAAACAAACCAGAAATAGCAGCCCTTGGTGCACAAAGTAGAGTCTTAACATTTTTGTCACATAGAGGACAAAGGACAATTATTGAAAACAGGGAAACCAACTCTTAGATGTGGTATCTTCGTTGTTTATGCAGTTTCAAGTGCGGTTTTAGAGCCCTTGGTGCAGAAAGTAGAACATGCATTGGTACATTGTGCAACAGCTTCATTCACGATATCACTCGCGTCTAGTACTCACCAAAACAAAATTAAGAATGGATCGATTATTCAAGCAAAAGTAATAATAGTTAGCTTTGGAAGTTTTTTTTACCAGATTTTTGGAGAGTGGTTATGGCGCCACACACAGAGGATGCACACCCCAACTTGCAGTATTCATCGACAATTTTCCCTTCACAAAAAAAAAAAAATTCAAAACGCATGCAACTAGCATCAAAAATGAAATCTCCATATCTTGTAACGAATAAAGTTTAATAATAGAAACTTTCAATTAACCAGAGTTTTCGAGATTGTCGTTAGGAAATCCCGGAGGGCAACTAGTCCCGTCGTCAACGATTTTGCATCCATTGGTAAACACACAAACTGCTCGGAGGCCTCCCCTAAAACGGCAGACAGCATAGGCCTCTTTAGCAGTCGTGGTAGGGCAGCAGATCTTTGCTTCTACTTGAATTTGCGCCAAGACAACACTCATTATGAGCACACTTAAAACCACAGTTTTGCCTTCCATCTTTTGATTGATTACTTGTTCGATCACAAAAATCACTTATTAGCTTTGTATTGTTGATAAAATGCTGATGGAACTAGCTATAGTTAGACTTAGTTATATACTAAGCTGTTCTACAAATTGCCACCACAAAACTTCATTTATTTAATGCTCTACAGTCTACACACTAGCCACCACAAATTACTTCACCTACCCTGTCCCAGAAATCTGTCTCAAATTAAGACTATTTACTTCACCTACCCCGCCCCACAAATTATTTTAAACGAATAATTCAAAGTTTCGTTGATATTTTGCATGATATGTTGGGTCTACAAGGACGTCGAAGGGGCATCTCAGTGCTCCATTTATAGCTACATAGTTTTATTCAGACAATGTGGTATCTAGGGGAGGCATGTGTATTAGGTTAATTTTACTCCTACTTTGTCACATACTCAAGAGACTTAGTTCGTAATGTTCTACAACCAGGATATGAATGTTTTGTTGGGACCTGGATACTCATACACGTTATGTTATTTTGATTCATTCGAGCTGAATTAATCTGGGTATTGGCTATTTTGTTGATTATATTTCGGTCGGCAAAATGTTTATTTTCTTCAATAGAGGAAATCAAAACAGAAACTCTTTTTAATGGAAACCATGTAAGCGTGATTCATCTGACAGTATCTTCAAACTTATTTTCTTTTGTTTTGAATCCAAGCCAACAAGAAGAGGAAGAGTATGTCAACAAAAATTAAAATATCCGATAAAACTTTAAAATGTCTGAAATTTGAGTGAAAGATAAGCTGAAAGAAAGAAAGAAAGAACAACTCATAAGAGAGAAGCTCAGAGAAATATGAGATAAAGACTATCAAGGAGTCAACACACTCCCGTCGAAAGAAAAATAGTAAAATGGCCTTCAACCAAAAATGACTCTCCCCTAAAACCCCAAAGAATATTACAAACGAAAGTAACGTTTATTATCCACACATACCTATAAAATCAAACATGTAAAACATTCGGACGAATTCCAGTCACAGTCCTGTAGTAGACGAATAACATCATGGGAGCTTGCGCTGCGACTATGAGTTTCCTTCGGTTACTTGAATGGATCTGTGTAAATTCAGTAGTACCTGTTGGGACATGACATCCTTCTCTTTCTGTTCTTTGGCCTTCACTTCTTTCCGTGCCTCTAGCTTGTCCTTGATTAGTTCATCCACTTTGCCACTGTATTCTCGAATAAACTGCAAACAAAAGTAGAGAAAGAGAGTTGATCATACATAGGCTTTATATGGTTCCTATCTCGTTTAAGGGAACACGAGAGATAAATCACCTGGAGGAGATAAGGAAAGGCAAAGTCGATCATGTTGTTGATCCAAGCAAGTTCTAGAGCAACGTCTGGTCGGATTAAGTCATAACAGACAAAGAGACATGTAGCAAAAACATTCTTTTTTCCCCTGTATAATTAAGAGCACAGCACAAGACAAAAGATTGTTAGTTTCATCTTCTTCACCAACAGGCTTTTTCTATTTTACAATATAAGAAGAAAACTCGGTGCTTGCAACCAATCCATACCTGTTCAATGAAGTAAACCAGAAGTTGTTCTGCAAGGTCATGGTCCCCGGATTGTGAAGCAGTCTCCATACAGTCCTTGTACATGTCTTTCTTTGACAAAGCAATCGATTGCTTCCATCTACCAGCTTTCTTGTAGATATACGCAGAGTGTTTCTCAATCTGCTTCCCACCGTTCACATAAAGATTAATTAGCATACAAGGGGATGATATAAGACGTGTACGTGATCAACGTATATTATTTTTAACTCTTACCTTTTGAGCGAGGCCTATCTGGTCGAAACTGTCATGCAAGTCGATAGACTCTCGCAACCTATCATAGTCTTCTTCTTCTGCGTATATCTCATTCAGAGCTTCATTTACAGCAGAGACATTCTGTGTCAAATTAAATCACGTGACTTTTATATCTCTCACAGTCTCACGACAATGAAATAGTTAAATCTTGTGCAGGGCAATTTTTTTAAATAAGGGGCCTTTTGAAAAGAAAAAGAAAATAGTAGATTAAAATACAAAATCATTTTTTTTTTTTTGTCAATAGCCTTTATTTCTACAACAGCTCCGGAATCCAAACTGGTGAAATAAAGTTTACATAATACACATATGTAGGTAGATCTCGAGCACTTCGTGCTAACTTGTCGGCCTTCGTGTTGTTCGTCCTTGGAATATGCATGATGTTGAAGGAGGTGAATCTCCTCTTACATCTGTCAACCTCGTCAAATAGTGTTGAGAACGCCGGCCACTCCTCTGGTTTAGACACCATCTTCACCACATCGGAACAGTCCGTCTGAAACACCATTATCAATTTTAAGTATTTTAACTTTTTAACCAAGTTATATTATTTCAAATATTATAATATCCTGATATAAATATTTTCAACTTTTTCACTCTAAAATATTTATAATTATATACTTTATTTGGTTTAGTTATATAGTTTTATTAAAAAAACCATATGAAACCACATATATTGATAAGTTTTGGATGCTTAATAGATTAAATTTCCATGTCTAATGGTTTCTTATCATTTTGGTTCTTCCTTTTATAATAGTCTTATGAACTATCATATATCTTCATTTTCAATGTGGAACTTTTATGATATACTTATTATTTTCATCATTTTAGTAATTGATATATGTTTTTAATATTTAAACTTTAATTTGTGCAAAAATGTACTCCCTCCGTTTTAAATTAGTTGTCGTTTTGGCAAAATGTATCTGCAAATATTTGGACGTATTTGGACGTGTTCTGCATTGCAGATACATTTTGCCAAAACGACAACTAATTTGAAACGGCGAGAGTAATTTATTTATTTTTATAAAATTTAGTCCAACCAAGAAATGAGAGAAAAATGTAGTATTTAAGAAAATAATTAATTTGATAAGTATGATAATATATTTATAATTAAATGCTGAAATATGTATAAATAATTGATATAAACTATTATCTAATCAAATTAAAACAATGGCATAGATTGTAAATTGTCTAGTAAACTTTGCTTTAATTAAAAGTTGTCTTGAGAGTAAACCTAGTGATGACATCTAAGCAATGACATTCTTGTTAATAACACATGACACAAATGTTATATTGATACTGTTTTCTCTTTTAATATATTAGGGATCAAGCCTAATGTTGGATTGAAACATTTATTTTCAGCCAAAATTAGCTTATAACTGGGCTGATACTCAGCTGGAGATGCTCTAAGCTTCTCAGGATTATCCACTGGCTGATGCGAAACCTAGTTTGATCGGGTCCTCCCGCAATACGATACACTTCTTAGTTTTTTGGGCTTTTTTCATCGAATTTAGAGTATATAGGTGGAAAATGGCGGGATGTAATTAAGTAAAGAGGTGAATAAATTAATAGGCTAAATGTAGGTACGAGAACTTCCCAAACGCTTAATTTAGGTCAGCTGAGTGACTGAGTCTCTCCACAGTACTTGGTTCCGTGTACTCCAATCATAATCCCAACAATTAATCCCAAATGACCTAAATTACTTGAAACGGATGAATATTATTTATTTTAGAGGACACCATTTTATTTTTAGATAATAGCAAACATAAGGCGTATACAAATTTAGGGATGGACAAACCTTCAACGACTCAAAAACAAACCAGAAATAGCAGACCTTTGTGCACAAAGTAGAGACTTAACATTTTTGTCACATAGAGGACAATTATTGAAAACAGGGAAACCAACTCTTAGATGTGGTATCTTCGTAGTTTATGCAGTTTCATGTGCGGTTTTAGAGCCCTTGGAGCAGAAAGTAGAGCATGCATTGGTACATTGTGCAACAGCTTCATTCACGATTTCACTTGCGTCTAGTAAGATCACCAAAACAAAATTAAGAATGGATCGATTATTCAAACAAAAGTACGTAATACTCCATAGTTAGCTTTGGAAGTTTTTTTTTACCAGATTTTGGGAGAGTGGTTATGGCACCACACACAGAGGATGCACACCCCAACTTGCAGTATTCATCGACAATTTTCCCTTCACAAAAAAATAAAAACGCATGCAACTTGCATCAAAAATGAAATCTCCATATCTTGTAACGAATGAATATAATTTAATAATAGAAACTTCAGTTAACCAGAGTTTTCGAGATTGTTGGTAGAAAATCTCGAAATAGGAAATTCCGGAGGGCAAGTTGTCGTGTCAATGATTATGCAGTGATTGCGGTATACACAAGGAAATTCTGGGTCTCCCCCAAAAAGGCAGTTAAAAAGGTTTCCAAAATCAGCCTGGGTAGCGCAGCAGTACTTCTTTGATGCTTCTACTTGAATTTGCGCCAAGACAACACTCATTATGAGCACACTTAAAACCACAGATTTTCCTTTCATCTTTTGATTGATTACTTGTTCGATCACAAAAATGTAGAGAATAAACAAACACTTATTAGCTTTGTATTGTTGATGAAATGCTGATGGAACTAGCTATAGTTGGACATACTTATATACTAGCTGTTCTACAAATTGCCACCACAAACTTCATTTATTTAATGCTCTATAGTCGTGTACACACTGGCCACCACAAATTACTTCATTCATTTAAAGTATATATAATTTAAACGAATTTCAAAGTTTCGTTGATATTTTGCATGATATGTTGGGTCTACAAGGACGTCGAAGGGGCATCTCAGTGCTCCATTTAGAGAGCTACATAGTTTTATTCAGACAATTTGGTGTGTAGGGAGGCATGTATATTCGGTTAATTTTACTCCTACTTTGCCACATACTCGATCAAGAGACTTAGTTCGTAAAGTTCTACAACCGATTACCGTAAGGAAGTCAGAGGGACATCTCAGTGCTCCATTTAAGATTTTTTTTCCCCCCTTATTATTTGATGTTTAAGATTTTTAAGATTACTTTTTTTTAATGAATGCTACTTTTTACAAATTTCAAATTAAGACTATTTACTTCACCTACCCTGTCCCAAAAATTACTTTTAACGAAATTTTCAAAGTTTCGTTGAAATTTGGCATGATATGTTGGGTCTACAAGGACGTCGAAGGTGCATCTCACTGCTCCATTTAGATCTACATAGTTTTATTCAGACAATGTGTGCGGTGTAGTGAGGCATGCATATTCGGTTAATTTTACTCCTACTTTGTCACACACTCAAGAGACTTTAGTTCGTAATGTTCTACAACCGATTACCGTAAGGAAGTCGGAGGGAAATCTTCGGGCTCCATTTATCGTATACTATTTATCGTATACATCTTCGGCTAACTACTAGGGATCGTCTGAGTTCTTGGGGGCTCAACGTCCCAACAAACTGTTTGTTATGTGATTCTGCTCCTGAAACAAGGAACCATCTTCTCATCGAATGTGCTGCTCCACTGAGATTTGGGCTAATCTCTTTGCACACTCGGATTTTACTCTGCCATCTTCAATTGATCAGATTGTTCTCTGGTGCAAGGCTTCTACAGGGAATGGGAAAGTAAATACTATTTGTATGTTGTTGGTTCATGCAATAGTTTACTTCCTTTGGAGAGAACGAAATGCAAGGCTCCATACCTTAACTGCCAAGTCTGGTTCAGCTTTGATTAAGGAAATTCGGCTTCTCCTCAGAGCAAAGCTTCGGTTTGGATCGCGCTTCCACGGCCTCGGCAAACTTGAATCTTTCCCCTATTCAGACCTCTTACCTCCATACCTGGTTTCAGTTCTTCCAACTCTGATTCTTCTCTCATCTCCTTACTTGACTTTGCTGCTGCTGCTGCTGCTATTATTAGTTCCCTTCTATCTCTTGTATTGCCTTTTGTTTATTCATCTTCTTCCTTTGTTGTAACCCGCTGTCTCACCTTTTGGTTGAGAAAGAAGATGAATAAAAAGGAAGTTAAAAAAAAAAAGAAAAAAAAAAAAAAAAAAAAAAAAGAAAAAAAAAGAGTTCATTTCCGAGCTTGGGGAAAAGTTACGTGATTATCAAATTTTACATGCTTTGGTAGTGTAATAGTTTTGGAGGATAAATTTGGAGGAAACCTTTGTAGTGTAATAGTTTATCTCCTCTTTATTCATTAGCCAAAAGGCTTATTTATACAAGATCATAATAACTTGTCTAACAAGCTCTTTACATATATGAGAATAGTAAATCTATCTATTTAACAAACAAGGAAATATACATAAATCTTCACTTTTCTTCCAAGTCTATCTTATCTCGTTATCTCCTAGATCTCCTAACAGTTCGATTTTTTTTCTAAATTATCCGCTCTGAGTTCTGATGCAACATGGGAGTTTTGACATTCAGTTGGAAAACTTGTTGGACTAGAGTAGAAGATTATTACAGCCATATCTCTTTCTTTAGATGATAGCAATTGTAGAAGGCATATGCACCATGTGATCAATAAATAGATACAGTCTTCGGTTTAACCAACTTCCTTGTGGTTGTGGGAGTTTTGACATTCAGTTCGAAATCTTGTTGGACAAATTGATATACCAATTGTAATTATATACTAGAGAAGAAGATTATTACAGACACATATCTCTTTATTTAGATGATAGCAATTGTAGAAGGCATATACAACCTAAGATCGGCAAGGCAACCTTCTAAGATACATTTCGGAAATAGAAATTAGAAAAAACTAACACGAGAGTCCAAAATTAACCAAACGAAAAAGAAAAAAAAAAATACACAACACGAGAGTCAATACACGATAATTAAACACATGCATGCAAGGAAAACTTAGATGCGGCATCTCCGAGTATATGCTTTGTTTAGGCAGTTCCAAGTGCGGTTTTAAATCCCTTGGTGCAGAAAGCAGAACATGCCTTTGTACATTGTTCAACCACTCCATTCACAATTTCATTTGCGTCTAGTCACCGAAACATCAATATACAATGGATTATTCTCTCTATCATTCTAAAATAAAAACTGATAATAGTAATGATAATGATGAGTTTGGAATCATTTTGCATCCACTGCTTAATGCACAAGCTGGCTCGTTCCACATAAATATCCGGCAGCCAATAAAGGTATCTCTACCAGCCGTGGTAGGGCAACAGACCTTTGCTTCTACTCGAATTTGCGCCATGACACAGCTCATTACGATCAAACTTAAAATCACAGTTTTGTATTCCATCTTTTGATTGATCACAAAACGAACGTAGAAGATTTATTAGTGATGAAATGTTAAAGAACCAATATATAACTTCATTAATACTAATTCTTCTACAATACCCCACCATAAATTTCATTTCTCTAACGCTCTACACAATTGCAACCACTTGCAGCAACCCCCCCCCCCCCCCTACCCCTAGAGATCTGTTTCAAATTAATGGCGTTTAAATCGGTAGTTGAATTTGTTTTTCAATTTTATAAAATTTGAGAAAAAAGGCTAAAAAAAATTTAGTTGAGTTATGATAGTTAATATATGGGTTCCCTACGTACAGACTATGATTTTTTATATTCCGTATATAACGTATATATATATATTTATATATTATGTACATTTGTATCATTTTCTTTCGTTTTAGATCATACGTTTCGCTCCGCTTCAACAATATGGAATATGAGAGTTCTCTTTTATTTTCCTCAAGTATGATAATTTAGAAGTGTAAATTGGTATGATGAAAGAGCTAAAGAGGCCAAATGCATGCATGAGCATTTTTGACACTTCCATAAATACAATACGCATATATATCCATGCTGTCATCATGTTTTCTTCGTTTTGACCAACTCTCATATATGGTTGTGATCAGAGTACTTTTGAGTTTCATTTTGAATGTTTGTTGGACAAATTTAACATAATGTAATTTAAGTTTTTCTCCTTTAATATATATGCTATATAAGTACATACTTGGAAATTCCTTAATCAGTATATCTGTGTATGAGATCTGTTAGTCTTAGCACGGTCGCTAAGCCGCATGTGTAGTCATGAGCCGATCTGTTAAACTTATAAGTTATAACACTTGTAGCAGGTGTGGAATAATATTATACTTAAGTGGAAATTAAATTAAAATAGCCGAGAGAAAAAGATTAATATAGACACATAATTTTGTGTTTAGATGATATCAAGTGTAGAAAGCATATACAATTCAGGATGTACAACCGTCTACAATACATACACAAACCAGAAACAATGTATTTTACGATCATTTTTTCCCACACAGAATGAAAACGAGGAAGACAACTCTCTGGAACTTGGATGTGGTATCTTCGTGGTCGTGGATATGCTTATTTTAGGCAGTTTCAAGTGCATGCATGCTTAGTAGAGAGTCTTGGTGCATAGGGAGGTATCTATATTCGGTTAATTTTACTATTACTTTAGTTTGTCACATACTCAGACAAGAGACTTGGTTCGTAAAGTTCTACAACCGATTACCGTAAGGAAGTCAGAGGGACATCTCCGGGCTCCATTTATCGTATATTAACTAAGAGTTTATTTCCGAGCTTAGGGAAAAGTTACGTGATTATCAAATTTTACATGTTTTGGTTCTACCTTCGATTTTTTTCTAAATTATCCCCTCTGAGTTCTAATGCAATCTATTATTTCTCTTACCACTTGTATTGAATTTTGTTTTAGAAAATCAAATCACGTAACGTTTATATCTCTCACTACATTGTAATTTAACTAGTTAAATTTTGTGCTCAAGCAATGTCTGTTTTTGCTGAATGTCAAACTTTAAATATCATGTCGTTTTTTTCTTATAAATACAACCACGTGACTACATAAGCCCACCATGTGATCAATAAATAGATAGAGTCTTCGGTTTAACCAACTTCCTTGTGGTTGTGGGAGTTTTGAGTTTCAATATCATGAATGTTTTGTTGGGACCTGGATATATATATACGTCATGTTATTCATATATAGTCGAGCTGAATTAATCTGGGTATTGGCTATTTTGTCGAGTAAATGTTCGTCGGCAAATTGTTTATTTTCATTTAAATTATAGAGGAAATCAAAACCGACTCTTTTTAACGGAAACAATATAAGAGTGATATCATTCATCTGACAGTGTCTTCAAACTTATTTTCTTTTGTTTTGAATCCAGGCCAACAATAAAAGGAAGTACGTCAAAAAAAATTCAAATATCCATAAGCTTTAAAATGTCGAAATTTAAGTAAAAGATAAGCTGAAAGAAAGAAAGAACAACTCATAAGAGAGAAGCTCAAAGAAAAACGAGATAAGACTATCAAGGAGTAAACACACTCCCCCCGAAAGAAAAATAGTAAAATGGCTTAATGTTGGATTAAAACATTTATTTTCAGCCAAAATTAGCTAATAACGCAACTAAAAACTGGGGCTGATACGCTGGAGATGCTATAAGCTTCTCAGGATTATCCACTAGCTGACGCGAAACCTAGTTTGATCGGGTCCTCCCGCAATACGACACACTTTCTAGTTTTTTTGGCTTTTTTTCATCGAGTTAAGAATATATAGGTGGAAAATGGTGGGATGTAATTAAGTAAAGAGGTGAATAAATTAATAGGCTAAATGTAGGTAGAGAACCGCCCAAATGCTTAATTTAGGTCAGCTGAGTGACTGAGTCTCTACTCGCTACTTGGTTCCGTGTACTCCAATCAACATCCCAACAATTAATCCCAAATGACCTAAATTACTTGAAACGGATGAATATTGTTTATTTTAGTGGACACCATTTTATTTTTAGATAATAGCAAACTCATAAAAATATCCATAAACTTTTGAATGTCTGAAATTTGAGTGAAAAGATAAGCTGAAAGAAAGAAAGGAACAACTCATAAGAGAAATGGGATAAAGACTATCAAGGAGTCAACTCTCTCTCTCTCTCCTCCAAAGAAAAATAGTAAAATGGCCTTCAACCAAAAATGACTCTCCCCTAAAACCCCAACAAAGAATATTACAAACGAAAGTAACGTTTATTATCCACATACCTATAAAATCAAAGATGTAAAACATTCGGACGAATTCCAGTCACAGTCCTGTTGTAGACGAATAGCATCATGGGAGCTTGCGCTGCGACTATGAGTTTCCTTCGATTACTTGAATGGGTAGTTTTGGTTCCCAATAGTCTTAGTAGCCTCCCATTGGGGGCATTCCGAATGGTGGCATTGGAGGCATTCCCGGCATTCCGCCCATCGGTGGTGGAGGACCGTAACCGCCTCCCATCCCTGGACCTCCTCCCATTCCTGGCATCGGTGGGGCAGGTAGAGCCAGTGGTAATAATTGGGCGTACATGTTCTGTTTTCAAAAACAAAAATGAGTTGTTTTCAAGCATTTTCGTGGGATGACGTCTGAGTGTAGCTGTGTAAAGTAAGTAGTTACCTGTTGGGACATGACATCCTTCTCTTCCTGCTCTTTGGCCTTTACTTCTTTCTGTGCCTCGAGCTTGTCCTTGATTAGTTCATCCACTTTGCCACTGTATTCTCGAATAAACTGCAATCAAACAAACAAAAGAAGAGGAGAGAGTTGATCACACATAGCGCTTATATGGTTCCCATCTCATTTAAGGGATTTGGAGAGAGAAATCACCTGGAGGAGATAAGGAAAGGCAAAGTCGATCATATTGTTGATCCAAGCAAGTTCTAGAGCAACGTCTGGTCGGATTAAGTCATAACAGACAAAGAGACATGTAGCAAAACATTCTCTTTTCCCCTGTATAATAAAGAGCATGACATAAGACAATAAGATTGTTAGTTTCATCTTCTTGACCAATAGTCGTTTCTATTTTTAGCATATACGAAACAAACTAGAAAACAAATAAATGGCTTTTTCGATGCTTGCAACCAATCCATACCTGTTCAATGAAGTAAACCAGAAGTTGTTCTGCTAGGTCATGGTCCCCTGATTGTGAAGCAGTCTCCATACAGTC